CTACTTTGTCGACTGCAGCTTCTGAAATGCTAGAAATTTGTTTCTGCTTTTCCTTGCAGTTCAGTTCAAAGTTACTTTTGCAAACCCCATCCTGGTTTAGCTGTGCTGTGGAAAAACTTGTCTGTCCCAGTGTCAGAGCAAAGCTCTGGAGGACATGTGGAGGCAGCAGGAATCCCGGAGGCTAGCTCCAATGCCAGTCCAGGCAGGCCTTCCACTTGGATAATTTCCCTTCCAGATTTTCCTAGCTTCCAGGACTTTCTTCAGGTGTGGTAGTGGAAGCCATCCTCCAGGCACAGACAGGATTTCCACACCCAAGTGTTCCTGTTTACCAACAAGCAGGAGGATCCTCCATTCACCCCCACCCACTGATACAGCCCACTAACTTGATATTGGAGTTTCCTCTGCAGGTTGTATCTGGAGACTATTGCCGCAGCTTGACCTAAAGTTTCAGGGCCTCATCTTTCTTCCTTATTCTGAACACGCTGAAGCCCCAGCAAGTTCGCAGCCAGGGCCGGGGGGCCTGAGCCCCAGGAGAGGCCACACTGCGCCTGTCAAGGCTCTGGGTGCAACCCCACCCCAGACAGCCCCGGGGAGGGGTTCAAGGGCCACTCACGTCGATGAGCTGCTGCTGGTCCTGCTCCGTCATCTCAGACAGCTTGTAGTAGCGGCCGGCCAGGTCCCCCTTGAGGCCCTCCAGGGCCATGATGGCCACGTTCTCCACCTCCCTCCGCTCGGCCCGGGTGCAGGCGGGTGGCAGGCTCAGCCCGCGGATGCTGCGGCCAGTGCGCACCCGAGACGACAGCACATAGCGCTCATCAAACTGCCCCTGGGTGATCTGCCGAGCAGAGCACGGGGTCACCGCTGCCAGCCTGGACCATGGTCCTGCCATAACCATGGTGGGTTCTGACCCGCTGATTGGCAGCATTCCCTGCAGGGGACCCTCAGGCATGGGGCAGGTTTGCACAGGTGACATGCTGGGCACATTGTAGAATTCTGGGGGTGGGGGCCTTAGAGATAAGTAAAGGGCAGAGCTACTCCTACAGTGCCTTCTGGAACCCTCTACCCCCACTAGGTTTGGGATGGAAAAAGGAATTGCTCTAGGAAAGGCTTAAAGTTCTTGGTGACCAATACCAGACTAGTGGTACTTATTAAGGAAAACAAAGACTGTGGGACCTTCCTGACTCTCTGGGGTCGTCCAGGGAGCCTGCTGTGCTGAGACCATCACAGAGCTTTCAAGGGCACCTGACCCCAGGGCTTTTCTCTCAGGTTCTCCTCACCTTGGGCCCAGGGGTGCCGGCTTCACAGGAAGGTAGGGAGGGGCTGGACCTACCTTGGATGCATCCAGATCTGTGGGGTGCTTCATCACCCTGGGGTCATAGCCATTGTGCCTTAGTTTGATGACAGGGTCAAAAAGGTCGGCAAACACCTGCAGGAGGGAAGATGCTCCTATTTCCTCTTTACTTCCTTCATCTACTACTAAAAGATATTCCTTTCACTTGCCCTTTTTACCTTAAGGGCCAAAGCTGATGCCCTCCTTCTCTGAAATTCTCAGCGCTCCCATGCAGGAAATGGGTGTGAGAGGGGACCAGTGGTGAATAAGAAGAAGAAGAAGAAGAAGAAGAAGAGGCCTATACTAGAGAAAACCTTTTCCAGGCCCCTTGCCCCTTGGGAGGGGGCAGGCTGTGGAACTCTGTCATCGTAACCGCCTCCCTGATGGTTCTGCCAAGCTCACTGCCATCAGACTGAGCCAGAAAATCTTATGTCTAAGAATTTGAGGGTTTTCCCCAGAAGTTCTTGCCGTTGTGGGATAAAAGAAACTGTCAGATCAGAGGCTAAGCAGTTTTGTGGTCAAAGGGGAAGCTCGGGTTCTAGAGGTGAAGAGCACAATAAATTGGTGGAAACCTGGCTGCTCCGGATGAAAGACAGCAGTTAGGGCAAAGCAGCGACCTCTCACCCTGTAAGGGCCTTCCCCAGCCCAAAACATCTTGTGCAAAACCTATTTTTAAAACATTCAAAGCTTCAGAAACATCCTCTAGGTAACATAAAGGTAAGAGAAGTCCTAACAAGGCACCCTGCAGCCTTTGGAGCCATGGGAAGTGGGTCCCGGGACCCAGCTCTAGTCCGGGTCTCTGGGAGCCCAGAGCTGTGCACTGCTGTCTGTGAATGAGCTACCAGTCTTGCTTATCCTGGGTGGCCCCCTCCGTCCTCTAGATGGCTGCATTCCCAGGGAACTTCCTTCAGCTCCCGGCCACAGAAGGGCGCAAGGAGAGTGGGCCTGAGGGAGGAGGGCTGGAGGCATCTGCCAGGACCTGGAGGCTGCTCTGCGGAGAGGGCCGCATGCTTGCTGAGCTCTGCTAGCAGCAGACCATGCTGTGCTTCTGCGCCGAGGACGAGGATGTGGAGATCATGGGATTTCTTCAAGACACTTGGTGAACTCAGTAGTCTGGGCCACCCTGGGTGTGTAATCAGCAATGCCCAAACTAGACACATGGCACCATCCCCCTCAATAAAGCCCGGCCACGAACACATCATCGCCTAATGCCTTACTGGTGAACACACATCAGCAATGAAATAAAAACATAAAAAGGCTTTATTTTTTTTTCTGTACCAATTGCTCTCCTTGACAAATGCAGACAGCTCTGTCACGCAACTCCTTCCTCCCTGGGGAGGGACACTAGAGCAGCAGCCTAGGAGCCTAGGAGGCCTTGTCTCCTGGAAGCTGGAGACCTCATGGTTCCAGATGCTCTGCTGAAGCTGCCTTCCTTTACGGGAGCCCTTCCTGAGGAGGCAGAGAGCTGGCCCCATAGACAGGAGGGCTCTGGGACCGCGCCCTTCACCACCCCTGGAGTATCCGCCGCCCCAGCCCCGACTCCGCCCCCGCAGCCAGCACTTTTACCTCATAGGACTCCTCGTCCCCAGCCACCATGCCCACCGTCTTTATGAAGGGGTGGCCGGGGTTGTCCACGCCAGTCTGGATGCACTGGTCCAGGGTGTAGCCGTTGGGCGTCACCTTGTTGCGGAGCTTGGCGTAGATGGCGGGGGTGAGGCACTCCGCCATGCAGTTGTTGTGCTTGCGCAGATCCGGGTAGTCAGCGCTGCAGGGAGACAGGCTTTCAGGCGCAGCCCCCGAGGGAGGGGCCTGGCGAAGGCCTTGTTTCGGGCCCTCTTGCCGCAAGGCTGTCTTCAGCCTGTGCGCACAGAGACCCTTGACGAGGAGTCCCAACAAGCCGTGAGACTAAGCCAGAGAAAGGGACCCGACCCTGCCAAAGATCCCGGGATCCCGGCTCAGGAGCCCACGGCCTGTCGCTTATGTTGATGTGACGAGGAGGTAGAGTGGAAATAATTAGAAAATAAACTTAAGTCATATGCAGATTTTTTTTCTTTAACCCAGAAATTTTGGTAAAACACAACAGCCACATTTTGGTCCTTTAGGTCTTTAGTAGAGAGGCTAGAAACCCTGTAGGTGGAACTACGTAGCAATTCATTTATTTGTCTTCTATGGTGCAAGCTCCATGCCCATATGCTATATTGAGAACAGTGCCTAGCTATAAATACAAGAGTTCAGTAAATATCTCTTGGAATAATACATAGAAGGATGTCAAACGGGGGTGCCCTCTTACCCTGGGAGATGTACAGGTTGAAGAACGGGATTCTGGACCACTACAGGCTCAAACCCAGTAATCTCACCTCAGGCATTCCTGAGCTACATGGTGGATGCTGGCAACCCCCCCGGAGATCTGATTCCCACAAGAGCCAATAAATGTCTCCGAGAAACACCTCAGGTTTTCTTCATCTCTCTCATCCACAGCTGCCTATATGGAGTCCCCTAAAGTCAGCCCTCTACTTCAGCTCTGTGCAGTGTGTGATGTGTTGTCATCGCAAGGTTCCCAGGGCTGAGAAAACAGTCCATCTTCAGGCCACTACTCCACTCCCCATCTGCAACATCCTTTAAAGCTGATGCTTAAAATCAGTACCATAACATCACATGTTCCAGAAGGTGGTGCTGCATGAGGGAGGCATGGGTCTGGAATCAGCGTCCCTAGATTTGCATTTCGCTACACTAGCTGTGTGAACGTGGGCACTACTTAATTTTTCTAAGCTTCCATTTCATTACAAAGAGATGCTAAGATGAATAAAATAGATACTCCACATAAAGTGCTTAGCACACATAGAAGTGCTCTACAAATGTTTACCATTACTATTGGTGCTATTCAACTAGACTGCAAGCTTCAGGCAGGAGCGATGACCCTACAATTCCTTGTGTTCGCCACAGGTCACTGTGCTTAATGAGTCATAAAAACAATTATTAATTTGACTTAGTCATCCTTAGAGGCAAAAAGAGGGACCCTTGGAACCAGCCCAGTGGCGTAGTGGTTAAGTTTGTGCACTCCACTTTGGTGGCCCGGGGTTTGCAGGTTCAGATCCTGGCCATGGACCTACATACTGCTCATCAGCCATGCTGTGGCAGTGTCCCACATACAAAATAGAGGAAGGTTGGCACAGATATTAGCTCAGCAACAATCTTCCTCAAGCAAAAAGAGGAAGATTGGCAACAGATGTTAGCTCAGGACCAACCTTCCTCACCAAGAAAAAGAAAAGAGAGGGACCCTTGCTGACATCTTCTAGCAGAGGAAAGCATAGTTCTGGCTGGCATTTAAAGTTATTTTAAAGCCAAGAGGATTTACCTTGGAGGGAAGAGCCTGTGATGCTCCCGGGCGTCAGCATACACGTTCTGCCGGTTCAGCAGGTAGCCGGTAGTCAGGGCACCAGTGCCCATGGTAGCAAATAGCAACGAAGCATTGCGGCCAGTTAGCAACTTAGAGAAGATACTGGCCATCTTTCCTCTTGGATGAGTGTCTGGAAAGCAGAGAAACTGGATTAGACAGCCTCCCAGGATGGCCCTGAACCACAGCGTGGAGATCAACAGGCAAGGGAAATAACTGCAGGAGCCATTGCTCCTCTTTTGGTTTGTTTTGTTTTTCTCTTTCTTCCTTTTTCCCTAATGCCTCTTCATACTGCTTGGAAAAATCTAGTAGTTTTAGACATTGTGAATGTCAAACTGCCTGAAGTTCATGCCATTTACTCCAGTAATATGATATAGGGAAAATACACAAAAACAGAGGATGTGTACTTCTGGCTGTTTGACAGACCAGGTGCTCTTTTGGACTCTGCCTTGGCATCACCATTAGACCCTGAGCAGGGTGGATGGCTGGGTGTGTAAGAGGTAGTGGAAGGCTCTGAGGACCACTCCTCTACTCCACTCACCCTAGGTGAGTGATGTCCAAGCTCAGAGTAATAAGCCAGAAGGTTTACGTTATCTTGAAGGTGGACGCCTATCTGAGCACTAAGGTCAGGATTCCAGCATTGAGGTAGGGAGCTGACCCTATGACTCCTCTAGTGAGCTAGGGCCCTTGAGAGGGGCTAAAGTGGCCCAAGGTCAGCAGACCCCTAGCCCTTGGCTCCCAGTAGAAGCAGACTCACATCCTCTCTGAGGAACATGTACTCAGTTCAGGCCTCAGTTTAGGATTAAGATCAAGCAATAAGCTCTCAATCAAAGATCACCAAGCACACAAGAAGGAATGGGAGTCAACAGAAGAAATGGCCACAGATTTAGACCTCCAACGACTGAAGACAGTGGAATTGTCAGACAAGAATATTGATTAGCTCTATGTGGAATGTTTAAAGAAATAAGTGATGGAATGCAGTGATGAGCAAGCAACAAGAGACTGTTAAGAATGACCAAGCTGATTTGAAAGAGAACCAAATTGAACTGCTGGATACAACACAGTTTGAAGATAGAATAAATGAACTGGAAGATCTATCTCAAGAAATTACCCAGAGTGTCGCACAGAGAAATAAGAAAACAGAAAATATGAGATATAAGGTAAGAGATATGAAGGACAGAATGACAAGGTCAAATACACATCTAATTAAAGTCTCAGAGAGAGAAAACAGAGAAAACAGAGAAAAAGCCATATTTGCAGAGAAATGGCTGAGAATTTTACAGAACTGATAAAAGACAAAAATCCATGATTCAAGAAGCACAAGATAGCTCAAGCAAAATTAAAGTAAATCTGCACATAGATAAGTAATAGTGAACTGCAGAGTACTGGCAACAAAGATATTAAAAGCAGTCAGAGAGAAAAGACAGTTCATCTACAAACAAATGAAAAACATTGGCTGATTTTTTAACAATTAATAATGGAAGCCAGACAAATGATGTCTTTAAGGGGCTATCAGACCATAATTATCAACCTAGAACTGGGGAGCTATCAAACTATCTTTCAAAAATTATAATGAAAAAGGCAATTTAAGATAAAGAGCAGATTGATAACAAAGGAACTACCAAATATATACTTTAGGATGCAGGACACAGACACCAGGACAGTCTGAGATGCAGATAAAATGGAGAAAACATATATAAATCAAAATAAATGTTTATATAATATCAACAAGGGATGAAAATCAGGATAATCATGCCAAATGGATACCCTGCTGTGTCTGTTTCTGCCCAGAGATCAGAGTGGACAATTAATCCCCAGCATCACCCAGGGGGAGCTATTTAATGTGGGTTGCTGAGCAGAGAACAAAAGAACAGGTAACTCTCGGTACTCTTTCATTATGTTGGTTTCTGTGATGCCTAAATAAAGGGAGTGTGGAATTTTTTCCCTAGTATTTAGAAGGTTCCCAGGACTCTGCTACAAAGATTTTCCAAGCTTAGGTAGGTAGGTTGGCTGCAAAGAGCCCATTGATGTGTATGGTTGTGACTGGAAACCTAGGCCCCCAGTGGAGGATAAACTCCTAATAAGGTAAGGTTGGCATGGCCCTACCCACAATTCTAAGGGTGGCCTTCGCAGGTCCACTTTCTTCCTTGATTGTATTTTGGGAACTGGGATCAGTCCATCAACTTCATGCTTCCAGATTCCCCACCTGGAAGTCTCTACTTAACATCTTTTTGAGCAATACTAGGGAGAAACTTGAATGTCTCAACAAAAAGCATCAAAGTCCTTGGAAAAGTTTAGGACGTTATTTTTCTACATTAGCCCAGGAAATTAGGCTATCAGGCAGCCTTTCCTCATGCTAATGTCTAAAAATAATTCCCTCTGTCCTAAAGACAACCTACATTACTTTAGTAATCATCAGGCAAGATAAATAGGCCATTTCTTAAAGTTGTCCTAGGGAACTGTAATGGCCCAACATTAATTGCATCACACATACTTCTTTGCTCCCTTCTAGACTGGGGGCTGTTGTCTGTTTCATTCCAAGAGCAGGTGATGGCTCCTCAAAGAATTGCACCGATGCTTCCTGGTCCTCATGTGTGGCAGGTGACACTAATATACATCTTTCAGGCCTGTCTCATCTGCTTCCACATCCTCCAGTCTGCTTCCTGAGCAGACAAGCAGTGCAGTCATCTCTGAGTTTTACCATAGAACTGACCAAAGGAAAAGAAGCTTTGTCTGAATTCATTCCAGGCAATATATGGGCCAAAAAGTTAGCGAGGACACACTCTCCCTAAGCTAACAGGATATGCATTCATTTCTAAGGTAACTCAAATGTCTTGGTCTTTATTTTTCTTTCCTTAATTTGCCTGAGCACTGATATGTGTTCACATCAGGGTCTGTTTGAGAAGATAAATCTTAAGAAGCAGAGCCAGGAGGAAGAGGACGGATGGTGTCCATGTGCGGCCCACTGACAGCTGTCGGTCTTCAAACGTCTTCCTCCCCGTGAGGGTGATCTGCGGGTGGGTACCTGACTCAACATATTAATGCTTGAAATGTCATCATATCCATATATTAGTATCTGGAGATAATAATATTAATTTACATCCAAGAGTTCCAACATGGCACTGCTGTCTGGTCAATGATGTGCGATTGCGATTCATGCCAATAATCCTGTGCAGGCTTTGGCTGTAGCAAGCCAAGCAATCCTGGAGCTGAAATCTCTTTAGTGTTCCTGCTTCAGCTCCTTGTAGAGAATTGACAAAGACTCAAATTTTGGTGAAGTGAGGAATTCCTGCTTCCTAGATTCTCTTTCTCTCTCCAAGACACACAGAGAATTGAATTTCACTGTTGAGGTCCCAACTGATGAACTTGGGTGTGAGACTGAAACAAGGGTCTCATTGAACAGGCTGCGGATCCCGGGAACGGCTGTGCTATGCTTCCCACAGAGCCAGAGGCAGGCTTGCAAAGAAATCAATTTTCCTCGTGACTGAACTAAATCTCTACAGGATGTTAAAAGTTAGTCTTTGAAAAGCCGCAGAGGCTGAACATCGGTTTGTCTTACGGATTTCCCTGTTACGTGGGGGGTCCCAGATATTACCTAAGCCCCATCTGCAGCGGAAACCCCTACTCAGAAGAGGCTCGATTTGCTATTTGCACAAATGGCAACATGTGGTGTAAATAAGTCGAGCCAGAAAGAGGTACGTAAGAGGCAATCTGCGTCCACCAAAGCAGTCAGTATTTGGCTTTGACTAGTTTCCAACATGTGGCTTTCTTTCTAAGTCAGTATATCTTGTGAAACCACTGGGACAAAAATTTGGAGCATAAAGAAATCTGAGGCTCAGATTAAAAATTTGAGGCTTTTACATTTTTTTGATTCCCTCTATGCCCCAAGCATTAGCATGACGTACTGAACTGCTCTGTTAGACCACTGGAGAGAGGAGCCGAGAGGCCCAAGCAGCTGCGATGTTTCTCCCGCCTCCAGACCCCTCACCGTGTGCTCCACTCTCAGGCTTGGCTTTTGCTGTTGTTTGCCTGACAGCTTCCTTACAAGCAGGCATCATTCCCAGTTTCTCTTCCTAAAGTCCTGTTTATTTCCTTCTTGGCACTCATCCCCCACCTATAACTATTTTGTTTGTTTTCTTGTTTATTGACCATCTCCCCAAAATGTAGAAGCCCCAAAAGAAGGAACGCTGTTCTTTTGCTCTCTGTCGCTCGCCATTGGTTCACATAGTGCCTGACACTTAGGCTCTCGGTGGCATTATCTCATAAGTGGATTCTGTGCTTCCTGCTGGGTTGGAAGCCAGTCGGAGGCTCACTGGGATCCACATGAGAGCGCAGGTGTTAACTGAGTGGGCATGGGGGGACGTGAGGCCAGAGAACAGAGCCGAGCGGACGGTGGAGGAACACGGGCAACAGAGAAGTATAGAAGCCAGCTTTCCCCAGCCTTGGGATACCAGCAGGGAGCGGAATCCAGATCTATTTTGAGGGGAAGAGGCAAATGTCAACTAAATAAGCTCATATAAGGAATTTGGTGAAAGCTCACACAAGCACATGTCCACATACATCCAGGGACTGTCATGGGAGCCCAGAACACCCAGGACACAGTGGGCCAGCCTGACAGTGAGAGCTCTAGAGCCCTGAACGATCTCAATTGCAAAAAAATATGTACATATATATATGCATTTATATCTAGATCCTAATATAGATTTTTTTAAGTATCAGTTTATTGTCTGTACTTTTGTGCAAATACAATAATGCAATAAACCATACTAATTTCTTTTAGTAAAATTATTACCATTTAGTAAAAGTTCTGCTTCTTCCCGCCCCTCCAGCGTGGACTTTGCTGTCCATCTTTCCCTGCCTGAGCGGACCACAGCCTGGTGCCTCGTGCCCTTCCAGCTCAAGGTGACTGCTTTCTCTCTGTGTTCCCCAAGCCCTCATGGCCTACTCACTCATTTGCACTTGGTTTTTTGACATCTGTTGGTGAACTCAACTGTCAGATTAAGGAACTCCCCACTATGTGTGGATTGTCTTCCCAGCTGGTGGGTAAAATCTTCAAGGACAGGAACCTATCTGCCAGATTCTTGCAGACAGTAGCTGCTCAGTGAACGTTTCTTCCCCGACTTCATATAATTACCTGTGAGCAGTGCTTTGCCAGATTTCCAGAAGGAGGAAACCTTACCAGCCTCCTGTTTATCCCCTTTCAGACAATGCATGTAGCTGTAAGGGAATGGGTCCTTTTCCTGGGGCCACTCCCCAGGGCACCCGCCCCTCTAGCTCGGTTCCTTTGCTCCCAGGAATTTCTCACTTCTAATCTGCTATGAAGCCCCAGGCCTGGTATCCAAGTCAATTTAGAATCAATTTGGGGAGCTAGCTGCCTGGATCAAAACTTAAGAAAAAAATTACTTCCATTACACTAAACACGTCCCTTTCAGCCACTGATTTTGAATTCCTATTGTTAAGAGCAACGAAGCAGAGCGAGGCTGGTAGGCTGGTTTTCAGCGCTTTATTGCCCAGGTTCCTGGTCTCTGAGAGGTGCCTGTGAGCCAAGGCAGCCCAGTGCAGACTCCTGACCTGTGGCCCGTGACAGGCTGTCTGACCCCTGGGAGCCCATGGAGCCCATCCTCAGTGGTTTCCGAGAGATCCAGCAGAGGCTGCCCGACAGACAGCAGATGGCAGCTTCCCAGCAGAGCCCCGGAGCACAATGTGCAGGCCCTTCTGTCCTCAGGGGACCCTTCTTAGACTGAGCAAGCAGGTGGGGAAGAGGAGTGAGATGAGGAGCTAGTGCTAGGTGTTGGGGAAATTTAACTGGAATCTCCTGCCACCCAGAAATTCCTCTCCACAAAATATGGGAAAGAAAGAAAACAGTTTTATTATTGAATAAGCGTTAAACCACGCTGAATGCACATCACAGGCAATTCGCTGAAAAGATGGCAAAGACATGAAATCTCACCCTTCTAATAGAGCCACGTGGCTGGGACCCATTAAACACGTGTTCTCGAGGTAACTGGAGTAAGAGGACATGACAGCACCATCTGTCACACAGAGCTCACCCTGAATTCACCTGATAATTGGCTAATTGCCTTTGTCCAAAGGAGAAATAAACTTCTCATGTCTCTCTGACAGCAGGTAGTTGTACAACTGGAGCCCGGTGCTTCAGTTAAACTACTGCCATCCCACTGAGACGGGATGGGTCAGGGGCTGCCTTCCCGGATGTTCACACTTCAAAGGGATGGCTCCCAGGCCTTGAGAAAGGCATTCCTGGTTGTAAAACAGGCAGTAAGCCTACTAACATTAAGATTTACATAAGTCTCAAAGGGGCAGAGAAGGAATTTACAGGTTTTCTAAAGGAAATGCTCTAAGAAAAGTGGGGGGTGGTGTCTTTCCCTTTTTTGTACTAGTGAGCACCACTTTCGTTTCCTCCCCTCCTTCACGTGCCCAGGAGCACAGCCTCTGGAGCTCAGCAGGGCTCGGGTCAAGGGTGGACATCACTCAGAACCCAGCCCACGCTTCGAAGAGACAAGACCTAGTGCTGTCACAGTGTCTCTCTGTTCTCAAGCCCCTGGGCCTCACATAACAGGTTCTGGGGAAATGCTGGGTGAGAGACTGAAGGCTCAGTCACAGGGACCTGGGAGTGGGAAAGGACTTCACAGGTCATTCAGCTCAGCTGAGCGCAGGAGCCCTTTCCCTTCAGCCCTCCTTAAGTACCAGTGATACGGGCTTAACACAAGACTGACATAAGGGAAGCCATTTGTAGAAAAGAAACCATACTGTAACTTTGACTGACTCTGACTAACTAACCCAGCTGGATTTTCACCCTCCAGGAGACCCAGCTGCTTGGTAGGTGTTCTGACCCCAGCTTGTGCACGCACCTCCCAGCTGTGATAAGACAATAACTTTGTTCGTTTGAGTTCGGCGAGAGTGTGATGACCCCCAGACAGAGAGTCTATTCTGATAGGCATCATCAACTGCAACTGAAAGATCTGGTGTGGCCACTCCCAGTCTGTAACACCAGAGGGTCAACGTTCCTAACCCCTCCCCATAACCCACTGGCCTGTACAACGGCCTCAAGATTCTGTGCCCCCTTAAGATGGCTCTCTAGGACACCAGTCCCCCCATCTTCTGATTTGCTAGCTTAGTGCTTAATAAAATGCCCTTTCTCTGCCACCATTGTGCCTCTTAACGATGGGCTTTTCTCTTGCGGCCAGCAGACTGCGCCCTTTGTGCGGTAACACCAGCAGTGCTGGGGATCTCATCTCCTCCTAGAGCAACCCATTTCATTATTGGATAGGTGTAATTATTAGAACATTTTTTCATATCTTAATAAGGGGGAAAAAACAAACTTAGAGAGTACTTTCAAAGGCCAAGTATTTTCTCCACAACAACCCCAAGGAGCAGATATCTTGCTCCATGCCACAGTGAGGAAACACAAAAAAACAGAGAGGTGAACTAAAGCCCAAAGTCACAGAGCTAAAGGGAAATCACATGTATTAAATATCAATAGGCACTCATTTAAATGAAAATCCTGTTTCTACTTACAAGGTTTTATAATAAACAATACTACAGTAGGTTTGGATGGAGTCGACCCCCTTATCTCCTAAAGAATGGAGCTGCCAGACAGTTCTAGCGGATTCCCATCCTGCATCGTATCTCAGGGACACTGAATGGAGTCTCTCAGTCAGGGTTTCCACAGGGGCTCAGGGGAGGATGATTACGGGGCCAGATTGCCAACCAGCTCACAGGCGTGTCCTGGGCAGCCCTGAGCGGGGGCAGAAACAGAAGGTGTGCCCTGGGGGCCCCCTCCACCCTCCTGGAATACCACTGAGCACAGGCTTCTAGAGGTCATCAGGCCCAGTGAGGCAAGGTCACTGTGAATGACCCTGACATGCCTCAGGTGGGGAGAAGTCAGAGTGGGCAGCGATGGAGGGAGAGGAAAGAGGACAATGAGGGAGTGAAGATAGACATTCTTGTACTTACTCGTTTGATAAATATTTAAGTGCCTACTATGTGCCGCTTTCACATAGCGCATAATCTGAGGGGAAGACTCATGTAGCACTTAACTATGTGCTGGGCACATGGTTCTATTAGCTGTATGGTTATTACCCCATTTAGTCCTCAGGACACACCCATGAGGTTGATGCTCTTATTATCCCCGTTTTACAGATGAGCAAATGGAGATAAAGAAAGGTAAAATAACTTGCCTCAAACCACTCAGTCAGTGGGTGGCAAGGCCGGATTCAAGGCCAGCAGTCGATTTTCATGGTCTCTGCTCTTAACCAGCACCCCTCCTGGGCAACTGCAAGCTGTGTAGCGAGTGTTCTCCGAGGGAACCGGAGCCCGTGGGCGCCCTCGGGAGGGCCTTGCCTGGGACCGGTCTGTTCAGCTGCACTGTTTGAGGGAGCTTGTCTGGTCTTAATAAGACCAAGGTATTGCTCGCCTCCACCCGCCCTGGGACTAGCACAAGGTCACAAAGTGCAGACGATTAGAGCAGAAACAAGGACTAGACGCCACGTGCATACCCAGACACCTGTGGAGGCTGCTGTGCATCACCCGTTCTGGACAGCTGCTTTTCAGGCACCTCCCAGGTGGGGGAATGGCCACTGCCCTCAGCCCACGCAAGACTTAATCTACCTTTGAAAGCTACAGAAAGCAAGAGAGGAAGAAAGGCTGAATACACCCCCTGTTCTATGCGTAAGTCCAGAATCTTCAGGATGAGATCGCAGCATCCTAGGCCACTGTCACTAATTCAAGTTTGGATCTGGGGGTCCTCCAGAGAAGATGATTCCCCTGAAATTCGGAGAGTTGAATTAAACTGGGGCCAAATTTGCCTATAATTTTTGGTGGCTGCCTATCCCCAAAGGTCCAAGGAAAACCCATGATTTGGGGACAACCCTGATTAATTCTAGATTCCAGGGACGCAGCTGAATGGGGCCCAGGCCAATTACCCAGTGAATGGCCCATGCGCAGTGTGACTGCAGCTTGCCGTTGGAGAAGATCACATCATAGCCAGAGGGCTAAGCCTTGAATCTCATTCCTTCACCCGTCCAGCATCCATTTGTCCATCTGTCTGTCCAGCCATCCATTCAACAAACGTTAAAGAATCAATTCCTGTCAGATACTGGGGCTGCCCACCAGGAGCTCACAGTCTGCTGAGGGAGACAGACCTCTGTAAAAGCAGATCATTATAACCCAAAGTGACGAGAATAAAGAAAAGACCCAAATTTGCCTGGTGAATCAGGGGAGGTCTTTCTGGAGGAGGTGAAAAACCTTAGGGATGTCACTTTGCCAGGTGGACAAGGGAACAGAATGCACAGAGGCAGGAGCCATGAGGGGCAGCGGGCACTGAGGGAAGGGAAAGGCAGGGGTAGAGACTGCAGGCAGCGGCCACATGGTGACCGGCACTGCAGCCACAGCAAGAGGAAAGTCACTGTGAGACCTGGCACTTGGTTCTGTAGGCGGTGAAAAGTGCAATAGGATTTTTAGCAGAGGAGTAATTTTACTCGATTTATGAAAGGTTGACCCCAGACCAATGCGGCCAAAGCGTGGTCTGCGGACTGTTACCAGTTCATGACGAGTTAAGTATAGACTTTACACTGTTGATAGTGCTTTGATGGAGTTATTTTAATTTAAAATATATAAGCTGGGATTTTGTATGTCTTTATTTTATTTTTCTAGGAATTGCACTTTATTGTATTTTACAAATGTATTGGTCTGCTGTGGGTTAGAGATTAATAACAACTTTTGCCACAGATAGTTTGAGAAGTGCTGTTCAGTTTCCTCACGATAAAATGGGGCCGAGAGTAGGGCCCACCCATCGGAGCTTTGTGAGAATTCAATGAGTTCTTAGCACAAATCCTGACATATAGGGAGCAGGTAATGAAGGTAGAAGTTCTTGTGGCTGTTATTAAACTGGAGAGGGAGGGAAAGGGGTCTAGAGGCAGGGAAACCAGCGCCTAGTGTCCTGGAATAATCCAGGCAGGAGATCCTTCTGGCTTGAACCCTGGCGGGGGGACGGCTTTGTGGGACATAGATGGAAGGATTTCCAAGGTACTTAGCAGGTAGGCTCAGGGGTCTTTGTGACCAGTCTGATGTGGGGGTGAGAGTCGTGAAGGAGTCTTGGAGGACACCCAGGTTTCTGACTTGGGTATTCCCCACAACTGGGAATCCTGACTGGGGAGCAGGTCTCAGGGACAGGACAGGACAGGATGACGATCAGGTTGAGTGGGAGGCACCTGTGAGGTATTCCGGAGGGAGTGTCTTCTAATGTGATTGTGGAGCTCACAAGAGAGTTCTCTCACCAGAGAGGGCTGGACTGGACAGAATGGCAATTGTGCAAATATCCACCCTGTTTCTGAATCCCCTCACGATGGCCTTCCCGGGTGCTCACCCGGCCCTGCTCGGGCACCGGCAGTGACAGGGAGCTCATGACCATGAACAGACACCAGTGTAGCGTCATGAGCAGAAGCTCTGGAGCCAGACAGCCTGGATTTGAATCCAGCTCTGCCACTTACGATTCTCTATTGCCTTGAGAAAATTACTTCACTTTCCAATTCTTAGTTTTCTCAAATGTAAAATGAATATAATAATAAATAATTGTTCTGAGGATTAAAGAGCTCATCTATGTGAAGTCTGCAGAACGGTACCTGATTAAGTGCTGAACATGTGTTTGCATCTGTCACTCTCACTTTGCACAACTTTTGAGAGGTCACGTCTAGTGATGCCCACAAAGTGTTCGAGAACATTCTCTCTTCACCTCAGCCAATAGCCCAGCAGCTCGTAACTCCGCTTTGTCCAAGGGAAGGGGTCTTAGGGTTCCCTGGCTCTTCTGACAGATGGAGAGTTACCACTGAACATGGTGAAGAGCCTCCCAGAGACTTGGGAAGGCCCCAGGGGGCAACTGCAGAGCTGTTCTTCCTCTGGATGCTTTTGTCTGGGACCCTCTGTCCTGCACCTTAATCAGGCAACTTCCTGGGTCGGCTCAGCCAAGAGGGAGCCTTTTTCCTAAGCTCCCTTCTCTCCTGAGGACACAGCTTCCCTCTGCTCCTGAGTGTGACAGTCAGCCAAGCAGGGGCCCCTGGTCCTCCAAGGATGTGCAACCTGACAGGCCAGCCCTGGTTCTGGCCTCCAGACCCCAACCCTTCTGTGCCTGTAGCTTGCTCCCAGGATCTCCCTTCCTTCAGCTCTGGTGTCTTCCCTCCCAAGGCCCCGTGCACAGGACCTCCTCAGGCCTGCTCCCTGCCCAGGGCACCCTGCCCGGAGTTAGGGAGCAGGGACCTTTCTACAGGCCAAATACACTTAGTGGCTCCAAGTCAGGAATTCTGCTCCTGTGGAGACAGTTAAATAAAGACCCTGCTAGAGGGCAAGGTGGGGCCTTCTTCTGGTCCTAAAAGGCTCCTGCTGAGTAGCGCTGAGGAGAGTTATGGGGCAGAATGTGAGCCGGAGGCAGCTCTGCGTGCCCCCCACCACCACCCCGGGCCATGATCAGAATCACCTGGACTGCTCTGTGAGGCGCTACAACCATTTTGGAAAGTGAACCAGGAAACATCTATTAACATTAAACATGTGCATACCCACCAGCCCAGCATCTCACTTTGAAAATCCATTCTGCAGAAACAGAGCTGCCTGGATACAAAGAGAGAGGCACAGGGTGTTTATTGAAGCACTAATTGTAGTGGCAAAAACCTGGAAGTAACCTGTCCGTCAGAGAGAGGAGGGTTCAGAGCGGCACCTTCAGACAATGGAACATTCTGCAGCTATTAAAGAATCAGTTAAAACTGCCTCCACTCACCTGGATGAATGTCTATGCCATATTCGTAGGTTAAAAGGGAAAAAAAAACTTGCATAGGAATGAGTATGAGTGATTCCAATTTTGTAACAATGATGTATGTGTGTATTTGCATATACTTGTATGAACATAAAGAAAAGTATTAAAGGTTATTCATCAAACTTCTAAAAGCATTGCTTTAGAGCAATACACTTGGAGCAGGTAGATTATTAATTTTCTCTTAATAGAACTCTGTACTGTGCCACTTGAAAAAATAAGTATGCATTACTTTTATGATAAAAAAATAAAAAGCTAAAATAAATCAACTGTGAAGTGTGTTAAAAATCCAGATTTCTAGGCTCTGTCTTTTGAATGAGCAAGAATGGGGCTGTCACGTGTGTTGTGGTAAAGCTTCACAGGCGATTCCCACGCCCTGCTGGGTCTGGGAACCCTGTGTGTTGTCTGCCAGAGCCTCAGCAACTCCTGCTGTATAATGGGCTCAGTGAGACCTCTCCCCGGGTGTTGCAAGGATTAAGTGACAGGCTGCAGTAAGCAGTGAATCAATTGGAGTCCCTTCCCCCGGTGACCCTAGGGCTATGCACAAGATCGTCACTTCAGAGCATGTGACTCCCTCAGAGTCCAAAAATATTACAAGCCCGTTCTCTTTCCTTGTCCTCAGGCTTCTGCTGAAGTGGCCCAGATGCCAGGTGCCACTTCGTCCACTCCACTCCAACGCCAGGTCCCCAAAGCGCCTGCCAGGCATGCTGGGGATGCTGGGCCAGCCTGCCTGTCTCTGAGACGGGGCACAGGCTTGTCTTCTGTCTCCTTCCCTCCTCTCTCCTGTCTCATACAGAAGGAGAGACTGCAGGGATGAGGAGGGAGGTAGTCTCCAGCCCTCACCCTGTAGCAGCTGTCTGCCAGCTTCTTGGAACACCTCGTGGCCCCTGATTTGAAAAGCACTGTTTACAGCATCAGGGCTAAAATCGGGCAAAATTCCTGGGCTCCAAGCCAGGGAGGTTTCTGTGTGGCGTGCAAGATATAGCCAAAGGCAAGGATGTTGTGGTTATTTCTACACTTGCCCTCTCCATTAAAAACCAAGCACCACCACATTAAGCCCTTTTGTCAGAGGGCCCAAGGACTGCATAGCCCTCTGTCCCAAGCAGGCACCCTGGGGGTCTGGGTCCTGGTCTAAGGGTCTTATCTGATTCTGTGACATCCTGGAATATGAGGCCTTGGGTTCTGCCCCTGCCTCAATTCTGAGCCTCCTGGTCGTCCTGAATATCCTGGATGGGGACGCCATGGGTGCCTTTCTGCTGACTCAGAGCTATTTCTGGTCCAGCTGTACACGGAGTCCACGTGTTTGAGCTCCTTGGGGCCCGAGTGCAGTGGAAGGCTAGGGGGAGGACCACGTATCAGCTTTCCATCCAGAGAGGGTCACCCCAAAACAGAGGACATTCTTGGGTTGGACCTGCTCCACAGCACACTCTGAACAAAGTCCCATGACGCCAGTCTATTAGGCTGCAGAAAATGGCTGTCCCCTCCCAGTTTGAAGAAAGCAAAGGGCTAAAGCTACTTCCCCATCACTGGATATACTGTCACCCTAATGGGCTCCCCTTGGCATCTCCGTTCTATTCAGCAAGTAGAAAGTCATACGCAGGAGACATCTGCAGTCCTTCCCTGTAAAACAGAGGCCTCTCCTAGGCCTTCTCGTGATGAAGACATAAGACCGTTACCAGACTTGTCCTCTCAAGGGCAATCTGGTTCAGGAAAATAGGAAGTGAGGAACCCTCTGCTCCTTTGAAATGCTGTAATGGAGTGGATGCCTCCTTCCCTGCCCAAGGGAAGGGTTCTCTGTGCTTCCCAGGCAGGGGTAGGTGTGACCTCCAACAGTCACCTTCAGGACTGGCTCCCTGTGGGCTTCCTGGCTCAGCAGGAACTCCCAGAATGCTGACACAAGGTCCTACATGGTTTCCTCTGCGAAGACAAATAGCTCCTTCTCTAAGCTGTGGTGGAGGCGGAGACCCAGTGCCTCCGAGCCAGGGGCAACGTCTGTCTCAGAACCTCCCCTCCTTCTGCCTCTAGAACCCAGGACTCCCCAGTCCTTATCCAAACCCCCACCCCACAGTTTCCTGGACCCTCCTCAGCCACCCCTTTAAGGAAAACTGACCTGGCCTATGGCCTATTCTCTGAGGATGTCATCTGATCATGAAGCTGGCAGAGCCCATGGGTGCATGTGGCATTCGTGCACTTTGCTGGAACGGCGCCTTAACCCACAGAGGGTTAACTCTAAAGGCTGGGCTCTTTGCAAAAGGCGCCTATAAACGCAGAGGAGAAAGCACAGTGCTCACAGCCTGATAACGCCTACATGTCCTCCAGGAGCCTGCTCAGTCAGAGAGCCCCCTTGCCAAGTTCTGCTGGTGGTCGTGTTCTTCTCCATGAGAACAGAGAGAACAGACCAAGGACACGAGTTCAGAAACAGAGGAAGTCACAGCTGCAGGCAGGGAAAGCAGTCTTTCTAGAAGCAGCACATGTTTGAACTAGCATGGCCTGGTCCTCAGGGCACTAACTGCCCCCTCCTGTGATCCCAGCTGACTCCGGGGGCTCAGAGAGCTAGAACAATGCCCGAGGGAGGGTCTGTAGGGCAGCACTGGGGACAGCTGGAGAGTTTTGTCTTGTTCTGTCAAATGTCTCTCTCCATGCCCACCAGAGCATTCGAAGGCACAGATGTCAAGCACTCAACGGACAAAAACAGGGCTGACAGTAACGCTCTGTGAGCCAAGCAAGCAAGTAAGCAAAGAACAAGCCTTTGCCAGAGAGGAAACGCATTTAGGCCTATCCTGTAGCATTTTTACCCCTGATGAGGGGAAAACAGTCTCTTGGCTCATTATTAATGTTAGTGATTTTAAAAATGAGTCTCTAGCAGTGATATGAACCAGTTTACACTGGGTCCAGCTGCCTGGCCGTTAGTAATTAGCTCCTTTCGAGGGCTTCAAAATGTTCATTTTTCAGTTAGTTTATCCCAAGTCTCTGATTTGCACCTCTTTCAACGCGGCCTGGAGAAACCACTCCCAGAAACGAATGGATTAGACTCTGTAAATTACAAGGAAAAGAAAGTTGAAGGTTAGGGCCCCAGTTCAGCGGCATTTAGATTTTGTTCCGTTGAGGAAAAATTCCTGATTCACTATCAAAAGCAGGCACAGCAAGCTGGGTGCTGAGCCGGCTCGGGAACCCCGTGCGGGACTGTTCCCCGCCTGGTCCCGCGCCCGGGTGCAGGGAAGGGGGCGGCTGCTTTAGGGCGTTCCCACGAACTCCTCGCCCGGACCGGGGCCCTGAGCACGGCCCCACGCGGTCCTGGACACAGCCCCGGGCCCACCGCACACAGGCCCCTCGCAACGTCCCCCTCTGCAGGAAGAAAGCCGGCTTTCGCGGCCTCACCGACCTTGGAGCCCGGTCCCCGCGTCCTGCCGCAGCGCCGCGCGCAGCCGGGAAGTGGGCGGGCGCCTCCCGGGCTGCCCTTGAGCGGCTCGCGGGGGGCGGGGCCGGCGGCGCGGGCGGCCAATCCCGGCTCGGAGCGCGGGACGCTCTTCTCCAGCCGTGCCCTTGAGGCCGGCGGCGGGCGCTTCCTAGCACCTGCCCTTTCTCGGCGGCCTTTCCATCCCCAGGTCCGCCCCTGGGGGCTGCCTCTCCAGGGCTCTGCCCGGGCTTCTTGGGCCTGCAGCCCGCAGGACCCGGCCTCGAGATGGAAAGGCCGGCCGGAGAACCTGGCGCACCTGTCAGGGGACCTGTTTCTACCTCCCCTCGGGAGCCCCATCCATCCCTGGAGGCCAGTTAGCTCTGGAGAATGATCCCCCCCGCCCCCCCACTAGCCGAGGTCCAGGAGGAAGGTGTCTAAAGCTCCTTCTTTTCAGCTGCTAATCAGGCTCTGAGCCCGGGGCCTGGGGCTCTCCTTCCAACCTGTCTTCTGGGGGCCTGGATTCAGGGGCAATAACAACCACGTTTCTCTTCTAGATCAGGCCATCTGAAGTAGGTTGCTAGACAATCTCACCTTCGATCCACAAGCTTAATATGCAACCCAGAAGGCCCTGCAGGCCGTATCCGTGCTTAAAAATAGCCCTCCTTGGGACATGCCCGCAAGCCGGAAAGGTTGACTGTAAATAGCACTGACCCACCAGGACTTTGGACAGCAGCCCTGCCATTTCAGAGGAGCTGCCCAGGCCTCTGTGACAGTCACGTACCCGGCTTCTACGGCCACGTGCACATCACCAGCTGATTCCTTCTCAGAACGCAGCCCCCGCCCAGAGTGATTTTCTTTCACTTTCCCATTCTTTTAAAGATGACCCAAAGTACACATACATTTTTTTTTCTGCTCTGTCTCCCCAAATCGCCCCCGCACATAGCTGTATATCTTAGTTGTGGGTCTTTCTAGCTGTGGCATGTGGGATGCCTCCTCAACGTGGCCTGACGAGTGGTGCCATGTCCACGGCCAGGATCCGAACCAGCGAAACGGTGGGCCACCGTAGAGGCGCGCGGGAACTTAACCGCTCGGCCACAGCCGGCCCCACACTTACATACTTTTCCTTTGCTTGGGAGTACTGACGGGGAGAGTGCACGAGGGGGCCTTCTAGGGGCTGGAAGGTTTCCTGATTTGGGGGTGGTTGTGTGGGTGTACATATGTATAAAAACTCCTCAAGCTGTACACTTACGGTTCACACTTCACTGTGTATTGGTCATAACTCAGTTAATACATACGCCATCGTTATGATCCAGCTTAAGTTAAATCAAAGTTTTTACAAAGTGATACTTACCGTTTTTACATATGATATATTGACATTTTCCAGACTCTTCTATGTTATTTCATTAAAACAATTGCAGATTGGGACCAACCAAACTGATTGCATGGTCCTCCAAAGAGTCAGGGTTCTCAGTTTGCACACTCTCTTGTAACGGACCACTCACGGTCCCTCCACCCCTGAGGCCTCGCCTGGCAGGACAGGCAGCAGACTGGAGGTCTGTGGGGTTGACCAGCTGCTCAGGAGCCTGGGCTCTGCAGGTTGGAGGAGGAGTCTAGGCTTATTTCTTCCCAAAATAGCTCTTTTGCACACACAGTTTCAAGTCACTTCAGGCGCCAGGTGAAATAAATCCAGTGACCCTGAAATAGCCCACATCGCAGACCCAGAAAACGATGAGGCTTTTGAAAAGCAGGGAAATGCAGAGTTTAAAGAATGGCAGTTACAATGAGAAATCCCTCCTCTTTTTCTTTTTCCCCAATTCCTTAGTAATGAACATTTAGCTCCTCCTCCAACACACACCTTACCTCAACCTCTCATTTTTTATGGTATAATTTATATAAGTTAGAGTGGAAGGTCAGAAGTTGGAGTATCGTTGAGAAAAGGGGAAGTCACTCTTCTTTTGGGGACCTCGTCATCTTCAAGTCTATTATAAAGGTGTTGTGATGGGGGTGGCAACCTCTACACGTGACTCACGGCAGAAATTCCAGATTTCCCAAAATCCTTCAAACGTGATGCCATTTATTCCTCTCTCATTGTTGTCGACTCCCTTCAAAATTCTGGGGCTTTCTCCACACCTGGTGGCCAGTGCGGTCATGGAGCCGGTCTTGCCACAGGGACAGGAACAGAAGAGAAGTATGCAACTGCCACATCACTTGCTTTAAAGGAAATCTCCTGCGTGGACTTATTGTCTTTTCTGTTCCTGAATCCCGCTGGAGCCTGGATGGAGCAGGACCCAGATTTGACGGGCAGGCAGGGCAATGCCGGGCGGGATGGCCAAGGAGTAAGATGAAAGGACTCTGGGTTCCTGAATCCCCACCAGCCTGATTGCTCCTTTCAGAACTGGAAAGGAAGCCAGCGGGACGGGGGGACCCACACTTCTTCCTTTCCTCAGTTCTCCCTTGTGCTTAGCAGCTGCGTCATGTTCTCCTCAGCTCTAAATGTTGGGACAACTTCATCTACTTGCAAATGTTAAAGTATTTTCATATATATTATGCCCCGTAACCGTCGAAGTAATTCTAGGGGCAGAGTTGAGTCTTATTTTATAGATGAGGAACTCAGCCTCAGAAGGCTCAGGAGCGCAGCCGAGGTCGGAGCTGCTGATGGCTGGGCCGGGGCGCTACCCAGCAGCTTTTCCTCTTTCCACAGCCTTTCTCGAACGTTGAGTGCCTTGAGGCGAACAGAGCTGCTCGGGCAGCAGTGAGTTGTGTGTGCCTGGAGGTAGTCAAACACGGGTTAGGAGTGTCACAGGGAAGAGTTAAGCACTGGGAAGAAAGTGGGACCAGATGATCTTAACATCTTTTTGAGGTCCCCTGAACTCTCTGATATTCTAGTGCCTGTAACATGGGCTTCTTCTAAACTTTTTTTCCCTTGAACTTTAGAAGTAAAAGAATATCTGAAGGAGCTGATTGCTAAGAGGACACAATGTAGAAGAACACAAAAAGAATTAAATGAAGAGACCAATAAGATGTTGAGAATTCAAGAAAGGCGAAGTTTAATTTGCATATAGGCATAACCCACACCTCACCCAGCAAATGTTAGGCCACAGCACAAACCCCTCTGTTGGATTCACAAATGTCAGCCGGTTCGCAAAGTAACTGGACACAAACAACATGCTTCTCAAAGGAACACATGAGTTTGTCCATTACACACGCACACAAATAACAAAGAAATACATTTAAATCCTCTGCAAAAGAGACATGAGATGGTAGTCATGTTACCTCACATTTGGACAGCACTTTACAGTTTGTTGCTGAACCCATTTTGTCCTCATGACAGTCCTGTGAGGTAGGCAGCACAGGAATTAATATTAACTCCATTTTGCAGATGAGGAAACAGGCTCAGAGAGGTTTCAGCACTGGCCTAAGGTTTCCCAGCTTGTAGATGGATGTAGATCTGGGCCCAGGACTCAAGGGCCAGGACGCCTAGTCCAGTGTTCTTTCACAACTGCCTTTCTGGGGAAAATGAAATGGGTGGTGTAAAAACAGTGGTTCAACATCATTAATAGAAACTTTTATTTTTCTTAAGGAGATGAGATCAAGTACAAGCAACAATAATGTTAATGTCATGCTGTGTGGCAGCCAAGATGAATACTTTTCTGAATTATTCACGTGTGTATACCTACAACAAAATGGTTGTTTTCTAGTTTAGCTCTGCTCTGCCTTAATTTTAAGTCCCTAATAGGCACAGAGAAATGACACTCTGATTAGATTTCATTGACTCAAGTCTTATTACCAGGATTGACATGGTGGTATCCGTAATCCAGTCATTATTTAAACTTACCATCTGTTGTCTTAGTGAAATGAAAATAAATTATATTCATTTATTCTTTTGGCTGTGGACATTAGCCTGGCTCCATTCTTTAGCCATAAATTATATGTCACCTTTTATCCCATTTCAATAGTAGTAAAAATGATAAACTTTACACGTTGGATTCAAAAAATCCTACACTTTTTTAAAGTGAAGAGAAAGATTTTTTTTCAGGGGGAATAAAATCAAACTTTGAAAAGAAAAGTTAAATAAAATCCCAGTCAATGGCAGCCCAAGGTTTTGCCCCACAAAATACTGTGAGAGACGAGGACGTGCTGGTCCATCACACACACACTTCAAACTGGAACATGATGGGTGGTTCTCTTCCAGATTATTCAGTATCTAGGAGTTTCATTTGTTTTTAAGTAGTACTTTAAGATGTATTGAAATTTAACAAACAGTAATGGGGACTTTGTGTGAGAGCCACTTGAAGATATTGCAACAGGAGTTTAAAATTCCCACTTTAAATTCTTTCAGAGAAACACTAAGGAAAAGTGACAACATTCAACTTCATGCCTGAATCTGTCACATAATATATTGGCTTAAGTAAGAGATTTGTTCCTGTAGCAAAACTGGATGTCTTAGTTAATAACCAAACGCATCCTCTAAAAGCCCTAAGATAATCTCATTGACAGCACAAAATGTGGGTATTCATCTGAAAGCATGAAATTGGATTTTACTTCTGATTTTCTAGGTTAATTTTGCAATAATATAACTGTTTGCTACTTGGCTGTTGAAGGCTGACATCCCATCTGCTCTTACAAATAGGTCTCCTATAATGGAATGCAGGCATACCCGGCTGGGAGCACACGCTCCAACAATACACTCAGAGCTTGACAGGCAGAAGAGGAGGGTGCTTTATCAATCAGAAGAAACACCACAAATTGCTCTTAGGGATTTTAAATATGACCCAATTGAGGTTTTTAAAAAATGTGCATTCCTACTCCAGCTGGCCAGAAGTGGTGCAAGTCATCAAAAGGAGCTCCCTTGGAGATGGAGTTCTTTCTCCTGCGGCTCCAGCCAGGGCTCAGATTCTAGAAAGCAGGAGGACGGCATAACTCATAAACGCTGAAGGTCAGCATTAACAATTGACAGTGCCCAAACCTGGCCACTGGGGGGGCGCTCCCAACACTCTGCAGGAAAAAGGTGTGAAAGCTTTGTCACTAGTTGAAGAAAACCTGCACTTCCAAAAGGGGAGGAGTATTTGGAAATTCCTCTACCTTCTATTCTTTAATAAGAATGGCTGCAGTGCCTCTGAAACATTTGGGTCAGAGAAATAAGAGTCCCAACTTCCAGGGAAAGTGCACTCAGACCCACCCTCTCCCCGCTGGAAGACCTTGGACACTCCCAGGCAGAGCTGATGGCGTTGACCTGTCCACGTGCTGCTTTGCCTGAAACTACCTGTGGCCCTTCACTGATCTGACCTGGTTTTAGTTCACCTTCCAAGACTGTTTTTGAGCCAAGAAAGCTAACTTTTCCTTTCTTTACTTCTGCGAGACCTTGAGGTGTTTGATGCAATGGACATACATTAGTTCAAACCCTCCGTTTCTGAACACTGAGAAATAAACTGCAAGTTATGCATTGTTAGGATCCAAACAACCCATGCTTCTTATCATGCATCAAGATGCATCAATCTCTCATTTGAAACTAAAGAGAACAAACAAGCAACTTTTTTTTTAAAAAAGAAAAATAAAGCATCCGTAAGTAACCCTCTTGGGGTTTAGTGCTACACTGTTGCTAATATGAGCTATTGGAAAGTTTTGGAATGGCCTTCAAATATTATATTTTCTTTAACTTACTTGATATTTCACTATATAGTTATGTACAGAGATGGCCTTTACCATGCAGGAAAAATGTACATTCTCCACCTCTATGGTATGTTCCACTGCATCTTATGAGCCAGCAAGTTGAATTTATTAGTCAGCTGTTAGTTCTAACCACATAATTAAAGTGCAAAGAAAAAGGGAAAACAGCCAGACAGATCAGTTTTTTCATTGGCAGCATCAACACGCTTCATGCCTCTAAGAGAAAACATCAGGTGCAAGAGGCTCAGGTAACAATAACTAGATTTTTCTCTTCCTTCTTTTAAAGCAGAGGTCTCCCTGAGAAGAGAAGAGGGAGGTAAACATGAGATAGCCCTATTTCTTCGACAACCAACAACCCTGGGAAACATGAGGTCACTCGCCAGCCTAGGGCAGCAGGACCAACTCCTGCGTTAGGTTTTCTGATACAAAGCTGCTGAGTGGCTGGGCCCAATTCCCATACACCGACAATATTTTCACTCAGAAATATCTCAAAATTTACAAACAAAGGGGACTGGGGAAGAACTGTCTACCAACAGCACACATAAGTGTGGGTTTTAAAAAGACAACCCCACTGAACAATTTTTTCAAAAACACAACCAATGTTCATAGTGAGCCTAAGAATGGTTTGTGTCAATCAGAACAGATTCCCACATTACTATGAGGGGGGTATCTTTTCAATTCGCGTCGAAACCCGCTCCTCCCACAGCACTCTGTGGCCTTCTGTCTCAGCCCACAGTTTCGTCAGTGAGGCGCGGAGGCACCATTTTGCAAACTCTGCACCCGCCTCTCCAAAGGTATTGGCTTCTTGGGCACCATAGCCTCAGGAAGAAGCCCCCACAGCCACCTCAAGACGGCCACTAGCTGGAATCTCCTGGGACACAGCCTACCACGTTGTTAATTAAGGAAATGTTACATACAAATCCACTTGTCTTTCATCCTGTCCCTCCTGTCCTGTTGCCTAAAGACTGAGAAAGCAGTTTGAGAACATGCTTTTCCTCCAATATAAATGTTTATGATGCACTGAAAACCATGCACATGCTGTAGACTGAAATTGCTTATGTGTCAGTCCATCCCTACAAAGGAAGCCTTGGCTTTTCTGGAAGCTTGTAACAAAGGAAATGTAACGGAAGCAGTTAAATCCTAGGAGAAGATTGGTGGGTGTAGCCAGGCCAGTAAAGTGCCAGGGAAACATTATAGGTCTTTTCCATGGATCCTTGTCCCCAAGTTCTAACAGAACACGGGGCAGGTTTGAAATTTACCTTCTTACCTACTTCATTAAAACGGCTACCAGCATCTCCCATCTTACATTCCCTTATACAAAATGTGCCATCAGCTTTACCAAATATCTCTCTTTCTACCTTTCCACCCAAGTCTGAGGCAGCTCTCTTTGACCCCAAACAGCTGGCCTTCCCTGGCTGGAGACAACAGAATTCCAGTTCGGTTCTGTCTTCTTCCGTGGACAAAGCAGACTGGCTTCGTCCCCATCCCCGGTCCTTGCTGCACCGTGGGAGGCATGACATGCACAGTTCTGTCCATCCTGCTTTCCATGAACATTCCACAGACCCAGGGACAAGGCTGGATCTTCAAGCAGGGAGCCGAGGTTCAATTTTTAGCGACAGCTCATACAGCGTATCTTCATCTATGATGAGGGCTTTGTCAAGCAAGTACTGAGTGACCTGGTGAAAAAGGGAAATCCTAGCTCTCAGTTCTTCCAGAACACGAGTGTTACATTTTCTGAATAGAATCTGACACAATTCAACACTTACTCTTAAACATTGAAAAATGTTATATAGCTAGAAAAAATCATGAATATATTCTCACTGTAAAAAAAAAATAAAAAATAAAATAAACATCTCTAGTCCTCTCCCAGCTCCCAACCCCAGGCACTTCCCTCAAGAGGCACCACTGTTCTCACCTGGTTTGTCTTCTCCCAAATGTTCTACTGTCTTTCTAGATATTATATGTACTTACAGAAATCTTTCTTCCCCTTGTAATCATAAGTGGTATCATCCTGTACAATTTATTCTGCTTCTCTCTCTTAACTATAAGCCATGGAGAGCTCCCAAGTCAGTACAAAGAGCTCTGACTGCTGTACAGTCTTGTTATTAGTGCGACACATCAGAGTTTACTTAATGCTGTCCTATCGATGCACGCTTAGTTGCTGTCAGTATTTCTGTACTACGCAGAGTTACAGTGAAATCCTTGTTAGCACGCTTCCTAGTGTTTTTCAGGTAGACAGGGAAGGAAATGACACTGAAATGAAAATGTTGGGGCATGGGGTATTTCCATGAAAATATTTCTTTCTTTTTATTGAGATATAACTTACATAAGTAAAATTAATAGTTTTGACAAATGTATACACCCACATAACTTACATACATATCACCATATAGAACAATTCTATCACCCCAGAAAGTTCTCTCATGCAGTTGCCCAGTCAGTCTGCTCCCAGAAGCAACCTCTGCTCTGATTTCTATCACCAAGATTAGTTTCGTCTACTCTAGAACTTCATGTAAGTGGAATCATCCACGTGCACTCTCGCATCCAGCTTCCCTCGCTCAGCATAAGGTGTTGAAATCCATCCACGCTGGGCGTGTAGCAGCAGTCCGTCTTCGCATTGGGGCGCTGTATTCTGTTGCATGGATGCACCACAATTTGTTTATCCGTTCACTTGTTTATGGACACATGGACTGTTTCCAATTTTTGACTACTATTAAGAAATGCTATGAACATTTTATATAAGACTTTTAATGGGTATGCTTTCACTTCCCCTTGGATATAAATATCTAGGAGAGAAATTGCTGGGTCATAGGTAGATGCATATTTAATGTTTTAGGAAACCTCCAAAGGACAGTTTTTCAAAGTGATTGTACCATGTTACTCTCACCAGCAATATATGAGTTCTGGTTACTCAGTATATCAATTTTTAATTTTAAAAGATGATGTAAAATGACCTCCCAAACTGCTGTACCTGTAGTATGTGGGAGCATGTGTTATCCTAGACACTAACTAAGTTTGATATCATCAATATTTTAAAATTTTGTTTATCTGATAGGTGAAAATGACGCCTCATTATAATTTGCATTTTTTCTTCTTACCAATGAAGTTGAGCATTTTTCAAATACTTATTGGTCATTTTTATTTCTTCCTCTGTGAGTTACCTGTTCATAGTTTTGCCAATTTTTCTACTGAGCTGTTTTGCTTTTCTTACATATTTATAGGAATACTTTTAACTCTGTCTTTTTGTTTTGTCTGTTAACAATATTGTCTCCTAGTCTTTACTGCTTGTATTTTGACTTTTTAAATAATTGCCTTTTGTCATACAGAAGTTTTTAATTTTGATGCAGCAAACTTTATCAAGCTTGTCTTTTACAGTTTTTACATTCTGTGCTTAAGAAGGTCTTTAAATCCAAAGGTAATGAATATTTTGTCCTATATTTTATTCAAATAACTTAATATTTCTTTTTATATTTAGGTAATGAACTCATCTGGAATTTATTTTTGTGGATGGAATAAGATGGGAGAGCCAAAATTCCTATTCCATTTACTGAATGGTCAGTTTCTTCCTGGCACTTTCTTTAAATGCCTCCTTTATCCCATCTTAGATTTTCGTATAGACAAAATCTGCATCTGAACTTTATCCTGCTCCATTGAATCTGTATTCCTGTGCCAATACAGTCCTGTTTCGTTCACTGTAGTTTTAGGATAGGCATCTGTATCCAGTAGGGAAAGCTCTCCTTTACTCTTCATATTTTTCAAAAAGTCCTTGTCTGTTTTTTGCCTATCTAAGCTTCCTTATAAGTTTCAGGATAAGTCTGTCAAGTTCCACAAAACAACAGGGAAAACTGGCTCTCAGTCACATGGGAATCTTCTGTACTACCTTTTCAATTTTTCTGTAAAGCCAGAAGGATTCTAAAAAATAACGTCTATTAAAAAATGAAAAAAAAAAAAGACAGACCAGTTGTGGCTGAGACGGAGAGAGGAAGTGGATGGACAATGTGAGATGAATCTTAAAAGATGAGTAAGGGCCACATAATGCAATACTTCTTGGACACATAAAGATTTTTTTCTTTCTTTATCCTAAGAGCAAAGCGAAACAATAACATATTTTATGCAAGGGGCAGACATATTCCAGTTTGTATTTCAGAGAGTTCCATGTGGCTGTAATTTGTAGAATGGATTTTGCACTCTAGAGTGAATGCAAGTAGACCAGGTAACAGATATGGGTAGCTTGGACCAGAGGTGGTGGTGGTGGTGTAGACAGATTCATGGGAAATATAGGACATAAAGTTGATAGAACTTGACGATGAATTGATGCTCTTTTTGCCTTCTTTCTTTTTTTCTTAATCGGAGCTGCCAAAGATTTGTCTATTTTATTGGTCTTTTCTGTGAGTCACCTTCTTGTATTATTGATCGCCTCTACTGCTATTTCTATTTCATGAATTTCCACTTTTTTCTTTATTAAATTCCCTTACAATCACACAATATTACCTTTGGCTGATGGTCTATTCGATAGGAAGTCTGCTGGAACTGGCGGATCTCTCTGATGATGTGTGATATCTAACAGAGGAACAAGAAAAAAAGCAAAGCAAAGTATTTCCCCGTATTGCAGCACATGCTTCCAGGGGCCCACTCCAGAGCAATCAGTCACCTCCTCCAATGAGGTAGCCGGAGCCCTGCCTGATCATTCTCTATGCCCAGGGCTTTCTTGCCCTTCAATGAGCCACAGAAATGATAACAGCAGGGAAACAGCTGGCACAGGTTAGCCTCGTGGGGGTGGGGGGTGGCAAGCTCTGGGTGCTTTGTCCACAGGCTCCTTGCTTCTAACTTGGTGCTCAGAACCGGGCTGTCCAGCAAGAAGCATTCAGCCTCTGTCTATCACTGGCCAATCTTAGAAAGTCACCCCGGAGGCTTATTGATCACTCATTCTGCCCAGACTGCAAGCTGAAATGGCCCTGCCCAAATCCCCTCAATCGGCCGACATCAGGCATTAGACCCAGTGGCCACCACCTCTTGCCCCTTGAGGTTAAAAAGTAAACGGTAGCTTTCATGACTTTAGCCTCTTCTCCATAAGCCACTGAAGTCACTAGAAACAGGCTGCTAATAAAATTACCACCTACCATTCTCATTTTGGAGAAATTGACAAGGCCTTCCTCAGTAAAGTTTGGTGTTCCTTCTTCGATAAATGCCAGGTCTGTCAGGTACATCCCCAGATAAGGAACAGCAGGGGGGTTACAACTGCAAGACCAAAAGGCACCAATCTCACGCTCATTCACACAAACGTTGACGTCCCTCCCCAGTTTAAACAGGAAGCAACTGTCCTGTTTCAACCCTGAAGAATGAAGTCTCTTAATTCCCTTTTCAGAAGCACACTCATGATATGCAGAGTTTCAAATACATCTGACAATAGAAAATAATACAAAATTACAGCCCATGCTTTCCTGTGTGTTTGAGACAATGGCATGTTCAAACAGGACGTCTTATAGACAAACACATTTGTCAGAAGTACTCGTTTGGAGTACTTGTAAACTGGCCCCACTTCTCTGAGGGGTAAAAACGTGCAGGAACCCTTCTGCTCTCACCTCATTAAAGTACAAACATTCAACCCTAAAGAACTGGATGGAAAAAGCAATGTGATTAGAGCTTGTAAAACTTGTCTTAGTATTTAACTCTGTTAGAAGGTACAGACTGAATCAACATCACAGCGGCACACTAAAGTGAGATCTTCTTTGTTTTTTGGAAGGGGGACGCATTTGGTTTTCTCAAAGAGTCTAAAGGCTGAGAACATGGCCTTATGATCAGAGAGAACTGGATCTGAATCCTGGATTGACCCACTTTCTAAGGGATGCTGGGTGAACTCTCTGAACCTCAGTCTCCTCATCTGTAACATGGAGACAATAAAACTTAGCTCTTTCGTTTGTTGTGAGGCTTAAATAAGACACATCAAGCACTTTGCGTGGAGTTGGACATTTAGTAAGTATTCAGCGACTAGTTCTTTTTCTATTGTGTCTTTCTTTCACTCACAGCATCACAGGACTGTTTTTCCAGAGTGGGTCAAATACGTGCGGTAGATCATAAGAAAACCAGATGCAGACAGATTCTCTTCTCTCTCTGTCCATCTCTCTCTCTCTCCCTCTCCCTGCGTGTATATATGTGTGGGTGTGTGTGTGTAGAAAGAAGGAAAGATCCAACAATAAAAGGCCAAAAATAAAGAATAGTAATCAATAGGTACTGGAATATTTAAATAAAAAATCACAGGAAATCATTGTGCTTAGATTAGGGAATACCAAATCAAGAAACTTTTTTATAGTAAAAGTTGGTTTGATTGACTATGGTGATATTTTCTTCTTATGTGGAATACTCTGCAGGCCATGGGTGTATCTGTAAGATACTTTCTATATGCACAATATTCTAAATGAAAAGGAAAATCAGAAAAATGCCTAGATGATGGAAGTTGTTTCCCATTTTTTTCAAAGCAAGTAGGAGGTAGATGACTATTTGTATACTACATAAATTATTTAAATATACTTCTGAGTTATGAATGATATAATAATTAAGAGAACATACTTTTTAAGGGTTTCTCTGAGATTTTTAAATCTTCCTTCAGATGAAACAGTCTTCTGAAGTTTGTCCATTAGAGCTTTCGTCTAGAAAGAAAGAAATAACTTAATATGTCATGAAAACACTCCCACAGTTTCATAAGATGGGTGAGTTGCCTAAAGATGCTCAATTCTCTTCCACAGTAACAGGTGCCAGACTGTGTCATGTGATATGATTTTGTGTGACGTGATCTGACTTTCAAAATGTGGAGGTGGGGCATTAGGTTTAGATTAGATGTTAAAAAAAAAAGAAGAACATGTGGAGAAGAGAAAGTGACTACATCTCATTTAGCCAAAAAGAGAGGAAAATGAGTAGAAAGAAAAATTGAAATGTACGGGAAACTTAGGGACTTGAAAAGATGAAAAGCAGGTGCTGAATGTGGAATCTTAAAGGATAGGTCTCATGTCATGGAGTTTTCATGACGAATCTTTGTGAGTGTTGATTTCCAAATCATCAAAGCATGTATTTGGTTGCTTGGCTACTGACCAACCAATAGCCTCTACTCTAAACCCTTTCTTTTGTGATCATCTTCGTCAATTTGTCGGAAAAGTATAACTGATATTTACCAAGAAATAAAATTGCTATTGACATTGGTCTAGAGGTTCTTCCATGGATGTGGGAGAAGGTGGAGTGGCCCTTGGGGATGATAACCCACTCTCAGCAGTACCCACCCCCAGTCCTAGTGCTGAGGACTCTGGGAAAACACAGCCAGCAAGGCTTGGGCAGAGGGAGAGGATGGAGGGATGGGATGGGGCAGGGAAAGCATCCTGCCTGGCTTCGGGCTGGCCTTGGCTCAAAGAAGCTGCAGAAATACGGTCTGCCCTATAGCCAAGACCACATTTGGTGGGCTCCACACTGCATATTCTACCAGGCCTTCTGGATGTCTCCCAGACTGGACTCAGACCTGGAGAAGAGACAGCTACAGAGCAGATGGTATTAGCAAAAGTGTCTGAAGCTGGCTATATCGGAAACCAAGTCTTACTGTGACTAGACTGAGGCACTGGGCCCTAGAGGATAATCCATCACTCATGCTAAAGCCACTTTGAGTGACCCATACATGTGACTGAAATGGTATATTCTATTTAATGCCTCTCCAGGTAGTACATTCAAAATTTGAAAAAATAATTTCAATATTAGTCTTATCATCCCTATTCTACATAGTCAGTTCTGTTATCCCCAAACCTGCATCCTGTCAGACATGAATATCACTCAAGTCAATTACAGGGAAGGCCTAACGCTTTGTTATAGAGGATTTAAGAATCCCTTGGTGCCAACTTCGGAGGAAAAAAGAAACAGGGGAAGGAGAAGGCAGAGGAGTGACTTACTGACTCTGATGAAGTGTGACATGTGTGTGACAGAATAATATGTTCTTTATATCCAGTGCCCAATGGCTGAGGCTTCTACTATGTTAGGGAGAGGCAAAACCTAGCCACAACAAAGGTGTCAATGTTCAGCTTCTGGATTCTGATACAGCTGTTTGAAGCCCATTTTAAAAATAGTATTCCAACATCCATTCATCATAAAATCTATCAAAAAACTAGGAAGAGAAGATAACTTCCTCAATTTTATAAAAAGCATTTACAAAAACCTATAGCTAACACCATCCTTTCAGCAAAGGTGAAAGACTGAATGTTTTCCCCTCAAGAGTGAGAACAAGGTAAGAATGACCTTTCTTACCATTCTTATTAAATGTAGTATTAGAAGTTCTAGCCAGAGAAATAAGGCAGGAAAAGGAATTAAAAGGCATATCATTTGGAAAGAAACAAATAAGACTGCTCGTACTTATAAGTGACATTCTATGAAAAACCTCCTATAACTAAATAATTGAGCTCAATGAGTTTGCTGACATAAGACCAACACATAAAAATCAACCACAGTTCTATATACTAACAATGAACACGTGGAAACTAAAATTAAAACCACAATAACATTTAAAATTTCTGCAAATAAAATGAAATACTTAGCCATAAGTTTAACAAAATATATACAAGACTTGTACACTGAAAATTGCAAAATGATGAAGAAAGCAAAGAAGACTTCAATAAATGGAGAGACACACTGTGTTTATGGGCTGGAAGACTCAACATAGTAATGAGGGCAAGTGTCCCCAAATTGACTGGTTTAATGAAATTCCAATGAAAATCTCAGTACATTTTTTTAGACATAATTTTTTATTCTATATGGAAATTTACAGGACCTAGAGTAGCTAAAATAATTTTGAAACAGAAGAATAAAGCAGGAGGAATACAGGAAGAACTTTCAACTCAAAGGTAAGGAAACAAACGATCCAATTAAACAATGAGCTGAAGACAGGAGCCACCATTTCATTGAAGAGCACAGAAAAGGGCAAACAAGCACATGAGAAGATGTTTAACATCTTTAGCTATCAGGAAAATGTAAATTAAAACCATGATGAGATATCAGAAGGGCTAAAATAAAAAACAGCAATAACCAGAAATGCTGGCAAGAATGTAGAGAAACTGAGTCACACATTGCTGATAGGACTGTAAAATGGTACAGCCACTGTGGAAAAGAGTTTGGCAGTTTCTTATAAAACTAAACACAATTACCACAAGACCCAGCAATTGCACTCCTGGGAACCTATCCCAGAGAAACGAAAACTTACGTTGACACAAAACCTACACACGAATGTTCACAATAGCCTTATTTGTAATAGCCAAAAGCTGGAAACAACCCAGACGTCCTTCAAGGGGTGAACAGTTAAACAAAATGTGGTATATCTATACCACGGAGTACTACTCAGCAATGAAAAGTGATGAAGTACTGATACATGTAACAACTTGAGTGGATCTCAAGGGAATTATTCTGAGTTAAAAAAAGGTAATATCAAAATGTCATATACTGTACAATTCCATTTATAGAACATTTTGAAATGACAAAATTATAAAAGTAGAAAACAGATTAGTGGTTGCCAGGAGTTAGGTGGCTGTGGCTATAAAAGGGTGGCATGAGGGATCTTTATGATAGCTGTTCAGTCTCCTGACTGCGGCGGTGGTGGTCACATGAATCCACCCAGGTAATAAAAGTACATAAACCTAAATACACACATACACACATGAGTGCATGTAAAACTGGCAGTCTGAATAAGGTTGGTGGATGGTACAAATGTCAATTTCCTGGTTGTGATATCATCTAAATTTGCAAGATGCTACTACTGGGGGACAGTGGGTGAGGGTGTAGGGTGAATCTATTCTTTCTTACAATTGCATGTGAATCTATAATCATCTCAACATGAAAAGTTTTTTTAAACAGAGTATTTATAAAAGCTGTGGGTTTTATTTGCAAGGTCCAGTTTTGTTCACAGAAAAAGGGTTGGTCAGTTCTAGCGGGCCAAATCTGGGATTTTCGGAGTACTGCAATTTTAGTAAAGAATAAGGAAGGTGGATGGAATTAAGGATATGACTTAGGTTTGGTTTCTTGCTACACAGGGAAGAGTTAAAAAGACTTCGAGAGAGAAAAGAAGATAGACTAGAGTAAGAAGTAGTGCCTCTGAGGGGGGCTTAAGTCCTCAGGGAGGGCAACGGGAACCAGATGGTTTTGAAGAAATGTCAGTAGAATCTATGCTCTTCTTCCTGCCTGGAACTCTGGAGGTGGGCACCCTGCAGATGCCCTTCACCCACTTTGGGTGATCACAACAAGGCAGGCATACTGGTCTGTGGAGGAAGGTTAGGCAGAGAGGGTCTGACACACCCTCCTAGCCTCTGGCTCCAATGGGATATAGAGAAGCCTGAAAAATTCCCCAAGGCCCTTTGAGAGGGCCAAGGTAATTATCTACTAATGAAGAGTTAGCCTGCCCACTAGGGATGGCCAAGGGGCATGGCAGCCTGCAGCAGAGGTCAGACACACCCCCACCTCAGAGGATCAGCAGAGCCAATGAGAGCTGAAGGAGAGGGGAAGTCAGCCAAGCTCCCCGGGTGAATCGCCGTGCCCGTTCCAGGGTGGGGTAGGCAGCACTATATGAACACCAGGCACAGGCGATTCACAGTGCCCTGCACCCACTGACCAAGCAGCAAAAGACTACAACAGGAGGACAGTCAGTGCACACAGCCTCCCACAAGCTGGAGGAAGCCCTCCCCATACCCACCAACACCCAGGGAGAAGCCCAGGAGACAGGGCAGGGGGAAAACTGTGATTTAATTTGAGTCTTTAAATTATCTGAAAGGAGATGATAGGCATGAACAACTTGAGTCCAATTAAAAGTAAACTAAGCAAGTCACATTTTTGCACATTTAAGTCATTATGCCAAAACTTTACACAAATGACAAAGAAAAAGGTGATGTTGAGGCCCTTTCTTCCTGGTTTTTGGCCCTCAGGCATCTGTATTCTTATTTTGGGGGAGAAAGACTGGATCCACTGGACATAATGTGTTCACGTGGAATCAACATGCCCTCTCTAAGTAATTCAGGAAACAATCCTGACTGTCAACCACATTGTCTGAGGTTGTTCCCCAATATGTTATAATGAATGTTTTGGGTTGTATTTTCTTGTCTAAATTAACCATTTAGTAATGCACATAAGTGGACTCAACTAAGTGGTAAGAAGACAGTAATTACCCACATTGGCACCTTTCTTTGGCAGTTGAGCTGCTCAGTTCATTTAACTATTTCCTAATTAGTATATTTATCTTGGCTCTGGTCTCCCAGCCTCTCCTCCTCTCGGCAGTGGGGTGTGTCGCACGCTGATGCTCACCTGCTTGGACACCTTGGCCCAGGTTTTCTTCAGCCTGTAGATGGCACTTCTGTTTAAGGCCGAGGTGATCTCCAGCACGCCATTGTAGTTGTGCAGGCATCGGCAGATGTCCGCCACCGCCACCCACTTCTCAATGGCGTTGGCCCGGGAGCTGATGTCGGCATAATTCATTATCTGGGAGGCCACCAGGTTACTCATCTGAGACAACGGAAAAGCCAACACAGGCAGCTCAGAGCTAACACAAGCATTTAGCAAAATCCTTGAATTACCTATAGAATCGTCAGGAAGGCAGATTGCCGAGGGACGTGGAGATCACAGTCCATGTTTAGACATCAACTTTCTGAAGAGACCAAAGTCTGTAATAACAAACTAATGAGCACCTGTTCATCCTCAGCATGAAGAGAGGGCTCTTGTGGAATCAGCTGGGTGGGGGGAAGACGTGACTTTGTTAATCAGTAATTTTGATGAAGGAGTCATTTCCAATAATTATGGAGGAAATAGGATAGAATGAGCTAAGCCCTGAGGAATGGGAAGCTCTGCAGATCATGGGTTTCACTTCTTGGGGCCTTTTCACATGCTCCTTGGCCCCCAACAGTGTGATGATATTCACTCTAGGAAGCCTCAGTTTTCACAGAGAAAGAAAATGCATCTGCCCCCAATCCAATCAAACTCGAACCTGATCAACTCAAACCAGAAACACTTAGGTGCAGGGGAAGAGAGAACGTTTCTCCTTTTCTTGCTGAATTTTTTTTCCACCAGCAGTTAAAAGGACCTCCAGTTTCAAGGCTAAGGACTGTCATTCTACTAGAGAAAGCCAAGAGAAAGAGGCAGGTTAAGAAGCTCAGCACTTAGAATATGGAAAGGACGAGGGCAGAAGAGGGTTGATAACTAACAAACGGAATTTGGGGTCCATAAACTTATACCCACACACTAAATCTGATGGGTACAGCCATTCTTTGATAATTCTCTAAGTATTTTAGATCTCAAGGTATCTCAGACTTATCACTGTGCATATTCATTAAAAAAATTATTTTGTACTGAGCACCTAGTATGGACCAGGAATTCTTTTAGGTTCTAGGAACAGGAAAAACAAATAAATTGGCATCCCTGGCTTTAAGGCACTGACTCTAATTAGGTGGGAAAGCGAAGGGAGGCAGACATAGACAAGGAAATATCACACAGTGAAATGCAAAGCTAAGTCTGCCTGGAGGGGTGTGAGAACATGGAGGCAGCATGGGGCGCCTCACTAGTCCAGAGGAGGCTTCTAGAAAGAGGTTGTGCCTGTATTGAGTCCTAAACAATGAGTAGGAGTTAGCCTCTGCTTTCTATCAAAGTGGAAGAGGGCCTGCAAAGGGACGGAGGTGGAACACATGGCGTGACAGAGGATCTGGCAGTCATCTGAGGAGCATAAGGTGTCATGAGAGACAATGATGAGAGGTGGGCAGGGCTCTTGTAGGGCAGGTTGAGCAGTTGGGATCTTATTCTGAAGGAGAGGGGAAGCCACTGACAGAATTTCGTCAAAGAAAGTGATATAATAGATATGATAGACTGCCCTCTCAGAGAAGTTATTCCCACGACAGTGTGAGGAATGGGTTGGAGGGCAGAGAGGTGGCAGGGGGTATGGCAAGTTAGGATCTCCCAGAGAGAAAGGATGAAAGGGCAAATCAAGGTTACGGCAGCAGGAAAAGAGGAGAGAGAAGAACGTGAGACACACGTAGATGGAGGTTCACTATTATGTTGGGGGGTGAGGGTGGGGTGGGTAAGGGAGAAGAAAGAGTCAAAGATGACCTCTAGATGCTGTGCTTGGGTGAGCGAGTGTACGGGGAGCCCATTACCCAAGACTGAGAACAGAGGGTAAGATAAAGAAGCAGGCTTGGAAGGTTTGGGAGGTGCTGAGGACAAGCACCATTTGCAACCTGTTGAGGGCACAGTGCAAGTGGCCATCCAAATGGAGGCACGAGGGTCTGGAGCCTGGGACTGAACCTCTGATTTGAGTGTCCAGCATATCCCAAGCATATGTACGGCACAGGCAACAGAAGTTTACTTTCCACCGCAGGGGCTCTGCTCCTCAGAGAGTGGCCTAGATGGGTCACACATCTTGTCCTTTAGGCAGCAGTGGCTTTGATGCTCGTTATGTGGTAACATTCAGCACATACGCATTCCATGTGGACCCTGTGCAAAGTACCGTCTTGGGAATCTACACTGTTGATTTGCATTTTGATTTTGGATGACATTAATTTACCTATGGGGTTCCTGGCAGTCTTTTTTTTTTTTTTAACATTATAATTATTCCTTTTGCTGCAGTTTTAGTGGAACTGGAAAGGGAGCCTCCCTTTGCAGATAGACCTGAAGACACTCCTACATCCCTGGTTCCGCCATAGGTCTGAGACCGTTAGAACAGAACCAATTAGAACTGGTGAGTACAAAAGCAACTCCATCTTACTGCTGAAGAAAGCAGAGCAGGGAGACGGCCTGACAGCCGGTCACCAGCGCACACGGCCACAGCAACACTGTAGTTATGCTGAAAGGTCCCTTCCAACCCTGGAATGCGATCTGGGCTGAATGTTCAGTAATGAGGAGAAGCTGCACCAACCCAACGTCACTGTCACCATCACCTGCACCACCAGGGGCCAGTGACACAGGTGCTGTTCATTCTGTTAGAACTAGTCAATCTACAACCACGAAGTAATGATGGTTATGATAAAAATAACAGCAGCAACCTACACATTATTGAGCACTTACCACACTGGGCACCGTTAAAAGCGAACCTCTTACGCCTGCAAGTTAACTGGAAGTTACTACATCACTGTGAGCTCTTGGAGATTTAAGCTTGTTTTTAACATTCCATTAGTTCTGTTTGAAAAGTGGGGAGCAGACCTGCTTTATTTTAGAAAAGGAATCTTAAGACTCTGATATTCTTCTCCCTGTAACACACCCAAGGTTTTATTTTATGGTTACTTACATCATTGAAGTGTTGGCTGGTTTTCATAATGTAAGGTGTTCTTTCATTTTTATCCAGCTTCATCCACCCCTGCCCAAGAAATTCTCTGAAAGTTCAAAACGAAACACAAAACCAATTAAGGCTTTTTAATGGTGTCCATGATCCTGAATAATTAGGAATATTACATACATTAAACTTAATGTTGCCCAACGCCTGCTGCTCCTGACCCTCTTGAGTGAATTTCAGCTCAACTCTAGCATTTCACCACTCGATGTCAAAAGATTCTCCAGTTTCCCGTTTTCCCTTATAAATGTTTGGAACTTTGTCCCTGTTAGGATCATTATAAAGGCTTCTCCAAAGTTGGAAAACAATGACAGACATGAGAGGAATAAAGAGATTAAGCACTAATCAGAAACCAAGACTATTTCCCCTGGATCAGCTTAAAAAATTTTTAAGCCTTAGCAAGAGTTCCGAAGAATCCATCACTACCAGAAACGTTAGTCAGGGACAGCATGTTTTTCTCCGCTTTGCTCTGACATTCTCCAGGAGGATGTCGATTCCTCGGGCAGGGACTTGCCTTTGTTCCCCCAGAGCCCAGAACACTGCATGTGATAAGAGCTGAGCAAACACTCAGCCCATTCATCTGAGGATGGCAGTTACAGTGGCGGGAGCTCAGCCTGGCAGAAGGTCTGTCTTCCAGATGACATCCCTGCTCCTTCACTTCACTCATGAGCAGGTCACAGATCACAGCAAGCAATGGACAATCAAGATGGAGCATACGGGAATTATTTTGTAGCGGCATTACTAAGAATAACTTGAAATGAAATTACTCTGACACAGTGTTAATCCAGAAATGCTGACTGAGTCCCTCTGCAAGGTTCTTTGTCCCTTCATGTTGGTGGGACTGCTCCCATCCTGCAGGGCTGTTGGAGATAAAGGTGTGCCAGTTCCACGGATGAAAATACTTGGTGGATGTTCACAACAGCACACAGGGAACAGGGAGGAGAGGTAGGGAGGAGAGGTGGGGAGGGTCCCAGGAAGAGACCACAAAAAGGACAACCATGAAGGTTTGAGCTTTGCTCTTTCTCCTCATCCCTAGAGGTCACATTCTTTTCCCTCCCGAATCCTCACTGTGCTGGAGAGTAATCAGGAGGTGGTGGCAGGGCAGCAGTGGAAATGGGGATGAGGGTGGGGGCAGGAAAGAGGCACTGTGGATCCTAACTCAAGTCTTCAAATAGTCACTGGGTTCATTGGAACGGCCAATGGGCCACATTCCTGTTTTAATTTTTTCGTGTTCATGGTTAGGTTTACTGGAAGAGGGGTAGGGAAAGAAGATAAAACACATAAAAGAAAAGTCTGCAGGGGCATCCTCTGGCCATGCCCCTTATGCCTCTCTGAGAAAGCTGTAGCTCTGACCCTCTAACCATCCTCTGACATCCACCCTGCGACCTTGCCCCTCCATCACCACGACTATCCTCTTCTCTACATATGACATGCCTCACATTCCTACTTCTTGCCCAGCCCCTCCCGTACCTTCAATTTAGTTATTAGTTCACAGAGGAGGTGTGCCAACAGTTGGCATTTGTCCAAACAAAGGCCTTGTTTGTGGAGCTACCGAATATGACAGCTGGGGGTGAGGGGTTGGCGTTTAAAGAGCCTACCCTTACTCTACACATGAGGAAATTACAAGGCTGTGTGACGAGCCCGTGGTCTCAAAGCTCAGCAATACTTGTTGATTTATGGAAGTGGGTGAAGAACTGTAGCAGAATTTACAGCATTTATCCAAGATCAATCTTTCTCAAAGTCTCAGACCACTCAGAATTATCTGTGATTCTCAATGAAAATACAGTTTCTTGGGCCCCAAACCTACTGGAATCAGAGTCTCTGAGGGGGATACATTTTTAATGTTTCCAAAATGATTTTAGGCTGTTACAGCTGCAGCGAGGTTTCTGTAATGTGAGAATGTGAGTACAGAGAAATGCACATTCCGTGGAAACTTTAGTACATATAGAGACACAAGAGTGACCATCTTGAGAGTCCTCAATATTTCCAATACAGTTGTCCCTCAGCATCCATGGGGAATTGGTTCCAGGCACGCCCCCTTCCCCCATGGAAACCAAAATCCATGGATGCTCAAGTCCCTTATATAAAATGGCCTAGTAGTTGCATATAACCTATACACATCCTCCCATATACTTTAAATCATCTCTAGATTACTTATAATACCTAATACAACGTAAATGCTATATAAATAGTTGTTACACTATATTGTTCAGGGAATAATGACAAGAAAAAAAGTCCCTACATTCTCAGTACAAATGCAACCATTGTAGGCCTTTTGATCTGGGGGTGGTTGAATCCGCAAATGTGGAACCTGCAGACACAAAGGGCCAACTGTACTTTCATATCAATATTTCCAACATAAATTGGAACCAAAAGACAATCACGTGGGACCAAACCATCTTAAGATTAAGACTCAAACTCTTCGCACACACATCTGGCTTAGGACTAACGTCAACTCTACGTGGGCTGGCCCTGCCTGACAGGACCCTCCCGCTGTGAGGGCAGCACTCACTCGTAGGGAATACTTCTGAAGACGATGTGGTCCAGGAGGGTGATCTGCTCCGCCAGCTCCATGGCTGACAAGGTCTCAAAGCACTCGGCCTTCGGACAGTCCGTCTGCAAGAGACGAGGGGGACAACGAAACAGACCCTGGAGTGAGGTGACTGTCAGCTCTCTGCAGCTGCTGAGGTACCAAGACCATCACAGAGTCTAGCTATGAAGAAAATGGCAGAAAGCTCAGAAATGTCAGCCGCCATGAACACCATGGGCCAATTGCTAACCCCCAAGCCGCATGTGTTCATCTCACAGAGCTTCCTCAGCAGAACACACGGTCAAGCGCTCAGTTCGTCACAGGCATTCTGCTTGCCCTCCAGAGGCAGTTTGCACATAATTGTGCTGGATAGGGCCGTGGCTGAACTTACCAGTTGAATTATGTCCTCTAATTTTAGGTGGATGTCATCTTGATCATCTTGTGAAAGGGCCCTAAAAAAAACACATCAAAATAGCCTCCATGAAGAGAAAGCAGACATGCCAGGAATGAAATGACAAAATGCAGTTGGGTTTTTGCTGGGTGGAAAGGTGGAGGGCTTGGTCCGCGAGGACGTGCCACTAGCTGGAGGCTGTAGAGATCTGAGCTGGACACAGGCCATCAGGAAAGCAGAAAAATATGTCAAAGGCACCAGAGGCTCACCAAGACAGCTGACTTGTAACAAGGAGCCAACTTGTTACATACAAGGTTGTAAATGAAACACCGATCATCAAAGGGAAACTGAGGGTGAGCTGGTGGGCTCTGCACCACCGAGAGGAGCCACGCCTGGATTCGGGCATCCTGGAATAATCAATCAGGGATTCTCAAAGGATGAGTGCCCCATCCACGCTCCTCCAGCTCCTAACCTGGCCCTTCCCTGCTGATGCTGAGGCAGAAGATGAAGAGCCAGCCCCTCCCCATGCGGAAGTAGACCAGAAGCTCAGGGAAGCTCCTTGGTGGCAAGAATTTGAAGACTGCCAGGCAGAAGCCAAGAGGTAAATTCTCCCCCTTGCTCCTCTGATGCACCTTCCTGAGACTCACGTGGTCCTGTATCCCCACACACGGTGTTATTCAGCTCCCAATAAATTTTTTTTTTTGATAAGTGATGAGTGAATGAATGAATAATATGCAAGTTAATTAACACTGAAGTGGGTGCTGGTTTTAGAGTGGGAGTGATACTTCGTGTCCAACAGACGTTCAGAGTCCAGGAGAATTACACTGATTATATAACTTGCCATCTGGGACAAGCACTTCAAGTTTTCCAGAATGAAAGCACAGTGACATATTAAAAGTATTAAAATATCTGGGGCCAGCCCACTGGCTAAGTGGTTAAGTTCACGTGCTCTGCTTCAGTGGCCAGTAGTTCACTGGTTCGGATCCTGGGTGTGGACCTACACACTGCTCATCAAGCCATACTGTGGCAGCATCCCATTTAGAAGAACTAGAATGACTGACAACTAGGATATACAACTATGTACTGGGGCTTGGGAAGAAAAAGAGGAAGATCAGCACCAGATGTTAGCTCAGGGCCAATCTTCTTCACCAAAAAAAACAGTATTAAAATATCTAAACAGTACTAAACCATGTTGCCTGTCTGCTAGAGGAAGCAAATTTTAAAAGAAATAACTATGTGGGGCCACCCTGTGGTCAAATGGTTAAAGTTCCTTGACTTCCATTTTGGTTGCCTGGGTTCAGGGTTTTGGATTCTGGGTATGGACCTACTCCACTCATCAGCCATGCTGGGTAGGCATCCCACATACAAAATAGAGGAACACTGGCACAGATGTTAGCTCAGGGAGAATCTTCCTCATGAAAAAAAAAAAGATGTGACGTTCTCTTGTGTTCTGAATTGATTAAACAAAACTACCACCCACAACAATACAAAATCAATAGAGATGGCTTACTGTATGACCCCTACATGATCGGCATGTGCTAAGCATCTGACATACACTATCTCCTATATCACAAAAAATCCCTTCAAAGTAAACATTGTTATCTCGTCTTACAGATGAGGAAACAAAAGCACAAAAATCAACTAACTTGTCCCAAGTTTAGTCCGGTGATGCTCTCCTGCCACTCTGTGCTTCTCTTAAGCAGGCTTATGGAAGAGAGAAGAATCCTTCTAGCTCATATGAGTGGCAAGCCTCTTGCCAGCAATTAGCCACATTTGTGAGCAGAAAGAAGCGGTTACCATATGATAAAGGGCATATTAAGGAAAAGAAAAAATAAATAAGCACAACTCTTTCTCCAAAGACTGTTAAATCACATTTAAGGATTACACACAGGGAATAAAGGTGACTCTCCCAAAGTGTTTGGCATTCTTTCCACTGTAGTCTAGGTTCCTGGAGAAAGATCGGTGGCCACATAACTCTGTGTACCCGTGGAAAAGATCTTTTTTATGAGGCTGGGCAATATTCTTCCCTTGGAAAGAAATGGTCAACAAGTTAGTTAGCTTCTCTCAAATGTTCCTCTCCTCAATGATCTTACCCAATGTTCCAAGATATTCTCCAGTCCCATTAAGTTATCTAGCATTTTCTCTCTTCATGAGAGCCTTGTTGATGCTGCCTGGGGCTTTGAGATGCTTGGGGGTGGGCTTTTCATGACCTGAGCTCATTCCAGTTGACCATGCAAGAAGTCAACCACTGCTTCTTTTCATTTTGTGGCATTTCAGGTGTCTACAAAAGACTCTACACTGCATAGATTCAGAAGCCAGCTGGTGAGACAGCGTTATAAAGGAGGTATTTTAGAAAGACAAAAGTCTTGAGCAGAGGGTTTTGTTCACAAAAAGGGCAACAAACTACCTGTGCTAATAAGCTTATTCACTATAAAGTGACTGCTGTGAGACTGTGTGAGGTCAGCTCATCACAGAAAGCTGTCACTCTACTGTATTACTGTAATAGACGTTTAAATACATGTTTCATGCCTACATCTCACTGTTGTACGACTCGAACACATATAAACCTCAAATGTCAGGGCTACATTCAATTCAAGACGGTATGCTGTTAGCTCTCACAATCATAACTTGTATTCCCTGGGAGGAATGTTCAGAAATGTTCCCCTTCCGATGTGAAGGCCTCTCTACCTCCAGTCCAGTTCCCAAACAGGAAGGATTTGCTTCTGGTCTTCTGACTAACTTAGAGTTCTGATGAAGACTCCAGGATCCTGGGTTTTCCCCACATCTACCAGTCAGTCGGATCAGTCTAACAGCTCTGCATTTATAATGAAACACCAGATAAACTTAAAAGGAAACGCGATTATCCAAATTCCATGACTGGAAAATTCCTCCTTCAATTGTAGAAATCAGTTACTCTTTAAAACAGAGCCAAGAGCAACCAGCCTCTATCCTCAGATTGGTCTACACTCTCTGGGTTGCTGGCTCACCACTGGCACTGGCTGGCTTGAGCCCCTGACATGGCCTGCCTCAGACTCTGCTCAGCCCCACCTCAGCGGACTTTGTGGATGGTTTAGCGTCCTGTTGCTTCACCTTCTGGGACCTGTCAGACCATCTCCTACTTCCTATGCTTTCTCAAGGATGGCTTTCCTTCCCTCCAGGCTTACCTGATCCCATTGCTACCCATGCTCTGGCACATGGTGTCCATAAGTACGTGGAAACCTTTAATGCTAAAATCTCCCGGCTTTGCCTGGAAATAACTCATTGTTTGTTTCCAAATTAAGAAATGAACTAACAAGAATATCTTTATAATTTTCAGGGCTGTTCAATAATCCTTTTGTTTCTGTTTCTTTCTCTTATACTCCGTGACGTTTTTCCCACAGAGGGATTTTACGAATGATGGCATTCCTTCAGTTGGTGCTTCCATCTAGGTCTTACTTCCTACCCTAATTTTTAATCCTTCTGATATAATTTTTAAAAATTTAAATATATAAATTTCATACATATAAACATAAATATCTGAAACGGCAAGTTATCAAAGTTAATGTATCATTTATTCCTCCTATAATCACAATCTTACATGACAGGGCAGGGACCCCTTAAACACAGGACAGGCAGAGTGAATTATGTGGCAGGGGAAATTCAATCTAAGGATCAGTAGTTTTCTTGCAGTAGGATTTTTTTTGCACAAATCTGTTTACCGGCTTGTTGGGAAGATAAGTTAGTGCCCCAGAGATCCAGCTGACCCAAAATGGGACTCAGGGTCTGGCTGTCTGCTCAGCTAATAGTCTGGTGACTGCACTGGTGTCTGTCTGCTTTTGTTGATATGTTCAGGGCTAAACAAAGACTTTTGTTTTGACTTCCTGTGGGAGGAAGATGGTCAGAGGTGGGAGAATGGATGGGGTATTGTAACATCCATTCTCTGCTTGGCTCCTTGGGTGGATTTTGAATTATGGTGAGAGACTGAGACCCCAGACTGAGGGAGGCTGCTCTGGAGTCCAGGTGGCACAGGGATGGGGCTGGTGGCATCCTTCTCAGCTTTTTGATTGGGAAATGGTGGCTTCCGAAGATTGTCAGGCAGCATTCTCAACAGAAACAGTGACATTCACAGTTGGCACGAATAGCATCTCCCACTCAAGCGGCCTGGCAGCGGTGAGCTTGAATACAGATGCTGAGGCAGAAAAATGACTGGGTTCGTTCCTGAGCACACATGTCTTGGGACTTTTAGAATACCTTGGGAAGACTTTTGCAAGGGACTAGAATTCTGGGTGGGCAGCTGGGGGCACCCCATCAGTGGAATTGCTTTTTTGTTTTGTTTTTGACTTCCTTTTTCTTCTACAAAATAGAAGTAAGTGGGTTATGACGGTGGGGTTTTTTTTTTTTGGTAACAGCTTTATTCAGAGATCATTCACATAACAAACAATTCACCCATTTAAAGTATATCTTTGGATGATTTTTTATTGTATTCACATCCTTGTGCAACACTGAATTTAGTTTTAATATATTATATTTTTGGGTATAGACAAGGCGATGAAGTCTAAGGAAAGCTGAGTTTGACTAAGATCCAGCCCCATTTTACTTCGGCCATATGGCCTGGATGGCAGAAACTATTTTTCCCAAAAGCTACTGTCAGTGCTTTCTAATAATAATAACAATAATGATAATAATAACCGTGGCAGTAATATGAGTGCTAATTATGTTTCAGGCATTGTGTTGCCCTCTTTATACATATTATTCCATGCAATCTTCACAACAGCCCGATGAGGTAGGGAGGATTATTAGCCCCATTTTATAAACGAGGAAAGTGAGGTTTAGATTGGTTAAGAAAGTTGACAGCATAAGTAGCTGAGCCAAGATTTAAACCTGTGACATCCTGCAAAGTTCGAATCAGACTCTGCTGGCGTTATACTCCCAGGCTGTACCATCTACTAAAACTTCTACTCTTTATCCGTCTCACACCTCTAATTCTCAGGTCATTTATTCAGCAAAGAGAATTTGCACGTCTTAAGCCTGATGAGCAATGAAGACCTGGGAAGGAATAGGAATCTTCTTAAGTGCCAACTTCAGTTAACAGCAGCGTCAGTCAACAGAGTTCGCTGCTTATTGCGCAGGCAGAGAGCTGGCGGGATGGACTGGTCATGTCTGGCACGGGTGTTGTGAGGGGAGGGCAGCCTGAGGGCTCCATACCCCAATCCTGACAGTCTTTCCCCCACTGAGCGCCCTCATTTCCCTGACAGCTAGCCAGTCAATTGTCCCTGGGGACACACACTTCTAGAATGTAGTTCTTGGTTTGCAGCTGCATAACTCCAACCTCTGCTTCCATCTTCACATGACATTCTCTCTGTGTCTCTGTGTTCATGTGGCCATCTTCTTATAAGGACACCAGTCATTGGGTTGGGGCCCACCCTACTCCAGCTTGACTTTATCTTAACTAATTATGCCTGCAATGACCCTATTTCCAAATAAGGTCACACTTTGACTGACTGGGGAGTGGGACTTCTACACACCGTTTTTTGGTGGGGGACACAATTCAACCTATAATAGGCCCTAGACCAAAGAAGGGGCTGGCTATCAGATCTTGAGCTAAGGGCTAAGAATGACTTATGGGCCAGTTGCTAAAATGTTAGAGACCCAAATCGGGCATTGCTACATAGGGGAGCGACTTCCAAAAACATGGTGGACTGAGCTAAAATGGACTCCTCTCCACACACAAGCATTCTGGATAACAAAGAAACAATATAGGCAAGCTCAGAAGAAAGAAAAGATTCTTTCCAGAGGTTTCACATGAAGAGGGAACTAGAAGTCAGAATAGCAAGGGAGTGCCAGGCTCTAGCATGTAGATGCTGGGCTTCCTACCCCAAGCAGGGATAGACCACACCGCCATGAGTGAGGTGGAAAGCCATAACTAAAATGTCTGCACAAAGCCATTGATGGTTGCCCTCCTCAAAGAGAGTAGACTAGGAAAAGAATCCACCTATCCATTCAAGAAGCTATAGGAGATGCTGGGTGGACAGATACAAACAGGTCTCTAGTGGGAAACCCAAAGTTCAAAAAAAAAGTCTTTATCATGTAGAGTGTGGGGTCCAAATTTATACAACCTACATGATGTGGAAATCCTGACCTGAGAAGCTGACAGTAAAATTGGCCTAGGACTGGTGAAGCAAGCTGAAGAGAATGCCTAACTAGTCCATGTTGGCACATCCACAAGCCAGGGGCACAAGACTCCCACAGAAGCGCTACCAGCAATAAACATGAGCTCATGATAAACAATGAGAACCCACGTGAGGAAAAAACTTCTCTGCAATGCCTGCTGGATGTGCGGGAGAGGATCCTCAAGCCTCCCCCCTTGCACTTTTGGTTCTCCAGTAAACCACTGTCTGCCCACACAAATAGGGGGACTGCACGCCACACAAGTTATGTCTCCGGGGCCAAAGCCTTCCAGAGGCAGCCGACCCCAACCATCCCCAGGAAAGAGGAGATGCTAGGTAACACTCTACCAGTGAGAACACGACCCCTGCCGCCCCAGGAGGCTAAGACGTACCCTTCTGGTTGGATAGGATCTTCTTTTCTAGGAACATGGCACAAATCAACCAATGTGAGTCACAGGCACCTGCAGTTGCCTTACCTCAGGATATTTGCCGTGGCTTTCCTTTCTTGCGGAAGAAGGTCTGGATCTCGCAAAACTTCTTCTAGCAAATTTAAGACGTTCATCTTTAGTTCATTGTTGAGTTCAAAATCCTATAATATAAAATGAATCTTTTTAAATTCCAGTTTTGAAGGGTTTAGCTCCATGACACATGAAACCACTCCTCAAGATAAAGAGACATGTGCTTCCGTCAGCCCGGAACACGGTGCCTGCTCCCCATGTTTATCTCTATTCATCTTTCAGGTCTAGGAGGTGACACATTTTTTCGCAAGAGCCTTCCCTCATTGACCCAGTGGGGTAAAGAGCTTTGACTTGGTGCTCCCATGATGCCCCCATCATAACCCACTGTATTGTAAGGGCCAATTTTATTGTGGGGTTTCCCACTGGACCATGAGTAAGATCAGTAACTGGGGCAGAGCAATAGCTCAAAAAAAGATTTGTTGCAAGAATAAAATCTGATATGTGGGCAGTGACTTGAATGAAGAACTTCAGTGCAGATATGCTCAAGGTTAAAGAATAAATGATGTACACACACTGAAGGGGCTGTGTCAAATAAACACAGGAGTGACACTGAAGGGGCAGCCACTGGGCAACGTTAGGACAATGTGAGCATCAAAATGAATAATGACAGTAATAAGTAACAACCGATGGACTCAAAGAAACTGCAAGCCCCTACTGAGGCTCACAAACAAATACATAAATAGATACACACATACAGAGGGTGGAAGAGAAAACTACATTTTATAGTGGAATTCCAACTGACAAATGCAAAGGAATACAAGAATCAGAAAATCACCATTTTTGACCAGAGCAGTAATAACTGATTAAGGCAAGGATCATGAATGGATGCTAAAATGGTAGATGAAATCTAATGAGGAACAGAATTAACAGCAGCAGAGTAACTCCCCCAACCCTGCCCTGAGATTATTTGTAAATTACTAAAGGAGAACCTGGCAGAAACCACTGTAACCAAGTAATGACAGTTACCGATACTGGAACCAACCAACATCATGTACCTACTAATGCAATGAATGCTCTGTGCAGAAGCATCGCTTACTCAGTATTTTGGCCCCAAATGCATAATCTTGATGTAATTGGGAGGAAGCACTGGCCTGAGCTCTTCAAAGGTGTTGATATCACAAAAGGCAAAGAAAAACTGAGTAACTTTTCCAGTTTAAAGGACACAAAAGGGACCGCAGCTAAATGCAACGTGTGAACTTGGATTAGATCTGGGATCAAGGGGGAAATGCTATAAACGGCATTAATAATACCCTTATAAAGGGACAACTGGCAAAAATTGAATTAGGGGGCCCAGCCTGGTGGCACAGTGGTTAAGTTCACAGGCTCTGCTTCAGTGGCCCAGGAATCGCGGGTTCAGATCCTTGGTGCGGACCTACACACCACTTATGAAGCCATGCTGTGGTGGCACCCCAAATACAAAATAGCAGAAGATTAGCATGGATGTTAGCTCAGGGCCAATCTTCTGCACCAAAACAAAACAAAAATAAAAACAAAATCACACACACATACACAAAATTGAGTTAGGACTATGTACCAGTTGATAGCATTATATCAACGTTAAATTGTCCTGAATTTGATCATTTTACTGAGGCTATGTAAGAGCAAGTCTTTGTGCTTTAGAGGGAGGAGGGGGCGGGGAGAGAACAAATATGGTAAACATGTTAATGAGTAGTGATTCTAGATGTGCACCAGCGTACTTGTTTTATTCTGGCAATTCTTCTCTTGATTTGAAAATTTTCAAGGTAAAACATTGAAAAAAAGAATAAAGAGGTAGAGTTGTGGTTCTTGTACTCTTACTTAAATGCATTTTTATGAAACACCAGTGGGCAGCACCTTGGGATTGTCAGGTGTTCAGAGATGAGCTGCATGCTTAACAGACTCCATCTTTACATGTGTGGCAGGAAGGTTCATTTTCCCTCCTATATAACGTTACTCATTACAACTACAATTTAACTTTAAGAAAAGTCTTTTTTTTTTTAAGATTGGCACCTGAGCTAACATCTGTTGCTAATCTTTTTTTTCCTTCTTCTTCTCCTCAAAGCCCCCCAGTACATAGTTGCATATTCCAGTTGTAGGTCCTTCTGGTTGTGCTATGTGGGACGCCACCTCAGCATGGCCTGATGAGCAGTGCTAGGTCCATGCCCAGGATTCGAACCGGTGAAACCCTGGGCCACCAAAATGAGGCACGCAAACTTAACTACTTGGTCAGGAAATTTTTCCTAAAATTTCACCTACTGATTGTCCTACAGCTTCTTGGCTATTGACTTTTCTTTTAAAACATATACAAAGAGAAGAGAGTAAAATCTTGCAGCTGTTTTTTCCTTTGTCCCACCGCCTCCGCGATTTCAAGGTTTGTGAACAGATAATGATCTCACTACTTCAATCTGTGTGCACTGCCAAAGGTTCTCTCAGTCATCAGGAGTCTTTTTCCTCAATGAATATTTGATGTTCATTAGTGAGATGACCGAGTCCTCCTGTAGCTACGTCAAGTCTCTAACGATGCAAATAATCTCCTTATTACAAATGGATTAATGGGAAGGACATCAGGCTGGTGTTTGGACCTTGCTGAGGGCCAACTAATGGCTTCATCGACAAGCATCATTGAGCACCAACTGTGCCCCATCCTGGGCTCCACAGCAGGAACGCTTCTGAGCCCCCAGAAAGGCAAGGGGTCTGATAGGTTTGGTTAAGGAAAACAGACGCAATCTTATTATTCGGAGCTCCAGGAAGACTAGATTGAGAAAGACCTCTGGAAACTTGGTGAAATCTGCCCAGACACGATTGGAAGCAGGATGAATGGCTACAGGTGAACATTCGCTCTGCTGATGACGTAGCTGGCTAACAGAAAGCAGATTCTCTGCTGAGTTTGAAATGCAAGAATTCTCACTCATGATTTCCCCTTACATTTGCACAGGTTTTTACCATGTTCAAAGTGACCTCCTGTACATGATTTCAGTTCTTCCTCAGCTGACCCGGGGCAAATGAAGCAGGAACCATGATCTTTTTTCACAGACGAGCCACTGAGGCTGAGGGATGTGGTCATATGGGCCGAGGTGAGACATGAAAGGAGGTGGCAGTGCCGGGACCAGAACACAGGTCTTCCATGTCACTCTGGAAAGAATCCTTTACACCTGCGCTTCTCAAACTGTCCTGTGCCCACAAATTGCCACAGATTGTGGTGCAGCAGATCTGGAATGGGGACGGAGATTCTACTGTTCTGAGCTCATCACACTTTGAGTAGCAAGACTTTGCCATTGTTTATTTATTTTTAATTCAGCCAAAAACAACTCCTCACAAACTGATTTAAAAAAATCTGAATCCTCTGATGTACCATCTGGAATGTAAAATTTTCTTTTTTACCAATGCATGTAAAATGCAGACTTGGCCACTCAAAATTCCCTGCTAAAAATACGGTAGCTACCACGCAATAAAAAGAAACCTGAAGCAGCTAAAAGCACTTGCCCCATTTAAATCCAGAGGTAGATTATTCATAATAAGTCTGACAATAATAAGACAGCCATTTTGTAATTATCTAGAATCTAATTTTTGGCTGCATTTCCCCAAGCTCTGAAATGGGAAAGGAGAATGCTCCTGGTGGAACACAGGCTCCTTCCCAGAGGCAGCAATCGGGGCGCCCACGAGATGGCGCTCCTGAGTCGTCCGGCTACCAGGGAGTCGGCGTCGCCTTTCCGCTTGGACACCGCCAGCCCAGTGCAGAGTGATGCAGACCGGGCGCCTGGACGCGGCCAGCCGGGTGCAGAGCGAGCACGGCCCTGCCTGAGCAGGGAAGGTGCCGGCTGAAGAATATCTTACAGCGCTTCATGCTCCAGATGAGCGAACCCCCCTGGCTCCCAGGAGGACCTGAGGCGTTCACTGCTATTATCGCAGCCACAGCTGACAGAGGTTGGCTTTGTTTCCAATTTTTGAAGCAGGGATGAGGAGACAGAAGATTGGAAAAAAGAAACCACACTGGTTTCAAAAGCGGAGAGCCCAGAAGATGTGAGACATGTACATTTCAATCTCTGAAAAGGAGACTACAGCTCTTCTTTCAACAATTACTGAGCATGTCAATCTATAAGGCTCTGGGGGAGGCAGGGCAGTGACCAGAAAACTGGACGTTTGGGTAGATGATGGAAATGTTAACCAATGAAACCCAGACACTGAAATGCAGGCAAGGCGTGGCAGTGCCCCACTGGGTCTCAGGAGAGGGGCTGTACCCGGGAACACCCTGCAAGAGGTGACAGCCCAGGTGCAGGGTCAGGGAACGGAGTGGGGCACCCAGCAAACACTTAGGAACAAAAAGCTACCAACAGGCGATATTAGAATCCTCCCCCGGAGATAAGCTATTGTGAGATGAGGGTATCTCACTACAATTTTATTGCCTCTACTCAAACACATTCATAAATGATCGGAGAGTCAGTGTTTTCCCTCCGTTAGTGAACAACTCCTGAGGTAATTATCCTAACTAAGACTTAGTGAGGGTTTGCCACTTGGTAGGTGATATTTTAAGCACTTTAGTATCTAATTTAACCCTCAACAGCAACATAGTTACAATCATTATTATCCCATTTTACATATGAGGAAGTCGAGGTACAGAGAATCTAAGTATCTTGTCCAAAGTCACACAGGTTGCAGGTGGCAGACCCAGGACTTAACCTAGGTAGTGCTGGCTGAAGCCTGAGTTTTCAACTGCGACAGCACACAGACTCTCCAGAAAAAGTGGCTCTCTGTGAATTAGTGCTGGTGGCCTGGGTTGAAAGACATGGCAGACAGTAGCTGGCTCCTATGCTGAGTCTGGAACTGTCTCCCGCTTGTCCTAACAACCATTTGAGACAGAGATCTTGAGACTCAGTTTTGTATTAACAGGACTAGCTCACGCAACAGAAAAGTACTCTGTGAGGCAATAAATAGATTCTCCAGCACTTTAAAACCAATCCCTGTTGACAGTTTAGGCATCTTGGAAATTACGTCCATTCTTTCAGGAGAGCAGGGCAATAATTAGTAATATACTGCGGATGGCCAAGGGAACTCTTGAGCATTGGGAAAATTTGACTCAATAAAGAGAGTTTGA